TGTATAAAAAATACCTGAGCATTGCCGTGTCACCTCTGGCCCCACAATATCCCAAAATTTCTGAAAAAAAGCTGGGTTCATACCGTCCGCCCCTGGTGCCTTCTCTGGATGCATATAAAAAATAGCTGCCTTCACATCTTCCGGACTGATAGCCTTATCAACTCAGAATTCTGATCCGCTGACACTTGTTTAAAAGAACCCATAGCTGAGACCTCCTGTCTCCCGGTCTCTTCCTGAAAAATATTATCAAAGTAGCTCCTAACCATATCTTCCACCATGCTCCTATCCGTGATTCAAGAACAATCCGCGGCCCGAAGTCCCTGCAATTTGTTTCTTCTTCTTCTTCTCTGTTTAACAGCATTATGAAAAAATCTCGAATTAATATCTCCCTCTTTTAGCCAGAAAACCTTTGCTCTCTTTGTCTCCAATAAAAATTCTCTTTAACCATCAATGACTGAATAGCCATCAAACCCGAATAAATTCCCTTGTGCTCACCTCATCGTCATAGCCCCTCAGTCGAGCCAGCCTACGCTTGTATGCATCGATTTGATTCCGGAAGCCCTTCGGTCTACGGCTATCCCGTCGCATAAGCTCCTTCCCACAAAAAATAATCCTTTCATTTATCGTTAAATGTGCCCCGGCATTCCAGCTACTAGCTACCACCGTACGACACTCATCCTCCTTTAACCACACATTCTCAAATTTGAAGCGTTTCTGCTTTCTTCCGTGGACCGTAGGATTAAACTTCACCCATAGAGCCATATGATCACTAGTTGGTGCCTCAACTGAACAAGCCTGGGCAGCCAAAAAATTATTCCACCAAACATCATTAACCAGGATCCGATCTAACTTCTCCTCCACCCGGTATCTTGTTCCTTTGCCTCGATCCAACGTCCATTGATATCCCTCAAAGGGGAGATCTCTCAATCCGCTGCTAGTCACGACATCCCGGAAGCCTCTCAACCTCCACGGAGGATGGGGAATATGACCCTTTTTCTCCGATTCATAAAGGACATCATTAAAATACCCTATTATCATCCAAGGTATTATTCTCCTCTAGCCCCTGAAGCAGCTTCCACGCTTCTCTCCTCTGCCACGTCTCCGGGAAAGCATAATAACATGTCAGCCTCCACCCCGGATCATCCTCCGCCTGCTTGACAATGCAATCTACGTAATTCTGATGTGCAGCCAAAATCGACACCCCAAACTCGTCGTTCCATCCCAGCGCGAGACCGCCACCACTCCCGTTGCTATCCACACACTCGCAATGCTGGAATCCCTGGTGACGTAGCAATTCCCCTGCTCTTTGTCTGTTGATCTTGGTCTCCATCAGAAAAAGAAGGGTTGGACGGTGCTCTTGAATGAGGTCGGCCATCCCTTGAACGGTCGCTGCATTCCCTAATCCCCTACAATTCAAGCTAATAATACTCATGTTCCAAGAGAGGAAACAAAATCAAGTCGGACGCTGTGCCTGGACAGCCACCGCCGGAAAACCCACCTAGATAACCCTAGGAGTCGACCGCCTGAAGTTTCTTTTAGCACAAGAGTATTTTTTACCCCGAACTTCATATAAAAAGTTATTTTCGCACCACGAATATACGTTTTTACAGATACAAATTTATTGTAATAATTATATAATTTTAAATACCTTCAAGCCTTGTTAGAAGGCAATTAACATTCTATAACTTCATTTGTGAAATAAATAATATTACATCCTGTACAATTTAATTTTAATTACATCCTCATAAATGTTTTGTGTATTTAAAATTATGTACTTAACACCATAAAATTACATTTATGAAAAATATATGATCATGGTGCTAACACAACTTTTTATATAAAGTTTGAGGTATACATATTACACGTGCAAGTTTGGGGTACTTATGTCACACCACTTTAAAATTTGTGATATTTAAATTATTTTTCCCCTCATTTTAACATCTAAGTGTTCTTAATGCACTTTAAATAGGTCAAGTTATTGGAGCAATCTCTAATGTTTCCATATCAAATACTATCGTATATGCATCCATGATTAGGGAGTTTCCCTAGCTAATTTAGACTGCTCAATTTTTCGATGTACGTTCAGAAAAATGTCAATAATTGGAACACATTTAAGTTCTTTATAAATTCTAACTCTTGCATCATAAGAGTGGCACGAGACTAAACATCAAGTGACAGCATGGATACTCCAGATCATTAATCTGGGAATTCCCCCCCCCCCCCCCCCCCCCCCCTAATTTCACCTGCATGGTGATTTGTGCACTTATCAAAATCTCCCAAGAAAAGAGGATCTTAAATGACACATATAAGCACATTCACTGCACTTATTAACTTGTTAGTGTTGATGTCAAATATCTTGTCGTCTGATGACATCTCTGTGGCACTCTCAAGGAGAAGGTCAGAAGTTCGAATCGAATCTCATTTCAGTTCAAGGATGTTGGCTTAACACAGAATAGATACTATAATAGGTTAGAAATAATTACAAAAAAAAACTTGTTAGCCTTGATTGGTCTCTAATCGATTAAATCCTCGTTGCATTATGTGATGAATATAAGAGCTCGTTTGATGACATTGAAATTGGCCGAATTGATTAATTCTGCTGAAATTTATGAAATATAAACTGAAGTGACGAGATTGACTGTTTTTGTTGAATTTTGAAAAAAATGTATTTAAAACATATCTCTTTGATATAATAAAAGAAAATGAAATAGCTATAATAGTCCTCTGTAGTAACTTCATCCAATTCAATCAGAAAAATAATTTCAGCAATACTTAGTTTGATTATTAAACAACTGAACGTGGAAAACCAAAAGTTACGTGTTTGATGAAAAAATTGACTGATAAGACAAATCAATCGAAAAATATGCTCACCAAACGGATTTTACTTGCTAAATGACAGTATAATACGAATTTTAAATTCTTACAAAGTAATAATAGTGCTCAATTCGCAAGTTTTAAACCTTTTTTGAAGAAGCCTTTGAATTTTTAGAATGATGTTATTTTTAAAACTTAATGCATTGATATATACGATCATACGGAGTATCTTGGTAATTTTCCTTTATTAGTTTTTCACTTTTAGTTTTTCCTATACATTTCTTTTATTGTTATTGTTGGAGGAGGGGTGGGTGGCACGACATATAATTAATGGGATTCGGTGTAAAAAAAATCTTATCTCATGACACCATTGTACTGCCTTGTAAGCAATGTAAAAAAAGAAAAATTAAAAGTCACCTCTAAAATCAAATTTTAACACTAAAAGTAGCTCCCATAAAACTTTATCAATTTTTCATTTTGATTGTCTCACTATCTTTGTCACTTTTTCATTTGAGTAAAGATTTTAAGATTTCATATAATTTTCTTTCTTATGCTAAATAATCCCTAAATAATTTTTATTTTATTAATCCCTGTATCGATCAAAGAGTCATTTTTTATTTGCAGCTATATTAGAGTATATCATATAGGCATAGTGGCATACCGCTGGGCATTTATTCTCATTTTTTGTTAAAAACATGTCACGTCATGTCACTTTGAAAAACTAAAACTAAACGAGGATAAATGTCACTGAAAATTTTAAAATATCACCAATAAATCCAATAATGCATCATGTATTTCGACCAAAATTTTCTAGAAGGCGGCGGTCCATAATAGAGTTTTGCCCTCTTTATCCCTCATTCCTCCCGTGAAATTTGCGAATTTTAAATTAGATGATAAATAAGAATAATAAAAGTAACGGAATATGTGATTGAAGTTTATTCAGAGAAGAGGAATGAACAAAATCATAAATTAATTGATTTACTAGAAAAGTGAGAAAGTTTTTATAGCAACCAAAAAAATAGTTGACAATATGTTAGACACATTCATGTTAGAATTCCTAATATTATTATTTATTAAGAATATTGAACCTTTTCGTAATAAATATAGAGTATGTTTGACACAATTTGTTGAAAATATATTTTTGTGCGCTTTTTAATAACTCTTAACTTTTAATGACTGAAAAGATCTTAAAGATAAAATGTGGTAACTGCTTAGTAAAAAGCTAACTGTTTGATTGAGTTCGATTTGATATACAAGCTGTTAGAACTAATTAATATTAAAAGTCATGAGTTAGATGCATCTCAAAAAAGATTTTTTAATTTTTGAAAAACTTTTAAAAATTGTCATGTCAAACATATAACTAGAAGTTTTTAGAGACTTTTTGATCAACACAAAAGCTAGAAGTTAGAAACTTATGTCTGCCAAACATAGCCATAGCTTATCTAAATATAACTGCATGTTTTTAACTGAAAATAATACTCCGTAAATGTTAAGATACTAAAGATAAATTAAAATAAAACAAAAAGTTTGTGTTTTTAATCACACACTTTAAATTTGTATTTTTATTGTAAACGTACGTATTAATACAAATGTTAATATAAATAATATAACTCAGGATTGGATAATTGTCATTAGAATTAAACCGAAAAATAAGTTGGGTCACGATCCAATCAGACTTCTCAACTACGTAGTATCTATTAATTATCAATAAAATAGCATGTTAAGTAATTCTTATTGTAGGATGTCAAAACAACAATAAATGCCCATTTATTATTCATTTCCCACCCTACTATCTTTAAAGGTTTTATGTATCCAGACCACAAATCCACAATCCCTGTATAACAGGACATTGAAATACTTTCAATATCCATTGCCGTCATATACTACTCTATATTTACATTGTGTTCCACTATAACTAGAAAAACATTTAGTACTGTTTTTACCTTGACTCAAGAAAATTTTATTAAGAAATGAGGGCCATCTCATCTGTGACTCCTTGAGGGTGAACATAACTGGCCGAAATGCTCTTTAAGAGGAAAACTTGAGCTATAATCACAATATGTTTGACAAAAGACCGGGCATGTACCTGATACTTACAAGGTTGCCATCGAGATTGGTCGCCGGAAATTGATCCGGCACTCTATTAACTAGTTGAGCTACAAGACTCCAGAAAAGTTTCTTGAATTATTGGCATGTGTGCGGTTAACAAAAATAGTTTTCACAAACAAAATCTTGTCACGAGCCTACTAGTCACATGCATGAGTGCAGGACAAAGTAAACAACCTATTATATATATAAGTGAGTGACATGAGGGCTAGTGAGATTCTTGTGCAAAACAATGTAGTCCGCCCTATTGAAAGAGTAAAAAGTTTCATGAACGGAGGAGATGCATACATTCCCGAATACAATAGGACACACTACCCTGCCCTCAAGGGTAGCTCAGTCAGGTCCTGGGTGGGGAATGTATCCAGAAGAAACCTCTATTTAACCTTAAAACTCGATCTTCTGTACACAAGCTTCTGTGTGAATTTTAAAAAAGTCAAGCAACGATTTATAGGTTTCCAAATTATTTCAAAACTTGAACCCGGAATGAATAGCAACAACTCCTCCCACGAGATTCTCATACCCTACATTTTGAAATCCTGCTTCAGCAATCATCCCAGCAAACTTTTCCTGTGAATGGAAACAATAGAGAAATATTTAGCCTACTCAAAATATTGTTTAGAATTTAGACAATACTTTATAAGCTAGAGCCTTTTTAGTAAGTAGAGTAAATTTGCTGAGTTTTCAGAATTTGTAGCTGATATTACTCAAAATTTACTTGTATTTAGAATAATGACATCTAGTTTATGGTTTTTAACTTTAATATCATATACTCCCTCCGTTCCGTTAGAATGTTCCCGCTTTCCTTTTTTGGATGTCCCGTTGGAAAGTTCCCATTTCCCTAAAGGGAAAGTTATCCTACATCAAAACAGGGTCAAACAGTGCAAAACAGTGTCGAAACAGTGTCAAACAGTGTCGAAACAGTGTCAAAACAGTAAAATTTACCCCTTGGTAAGTTTATTTCCTTAATATGTGTGTAGGTCAAACCGGGAACATTCCAACGAGACGGAGGGAGTATATAGATTGATTTGACCCGACCCCAAGATTCATTATTTTTTGGCTTGAGATTATGATGGAATAAAGCAAAATGGCTCACTAAACTGTCTGCGCTTCTTTGTAATGAAGCAGCAGTCAGTCTCTCTGTGCTTTAGTACAGGGGTAAGACTGCGTACATCTGACCCCCCTTACTCCACCGTAGGTGGGAGCCTTTGCAGCGCTGGGTTAAATGAAAATGATGATGAAATGAAATGTCCTTTTCAACAAAAAAAAAAAGAGTAGTTTACACTTTATTATCATCTGCTCGGCAAGTGTGGTCTCAAATGAGTTAGTGTTTGGTAGAAACATCAAACATTGGCTCATGTACGCCAGAAAATTAATTGATTGATATATATACACACACATATATACACACACACACACATATATATATATTAGTAGGGAATATTCTCGAAATAGGATTAAAAACATTTGAGAATTTCAAAATAGGACTGTCATGTTTTATTTCCTAAATAGGAGTAATTACTGTCAAGTTTGGAAAATACTGTCATGTTTAAAGTCTGCTACTACCAAAACATCATCATCATTACCCAGTGCCACAAAGGCTCCAACCTACAGTGGGGTAAGGGGGGTGGGACGTACACAGTCTTACCCCTGTTTAGCACAGAGAGACTGTTTTCATATGACCCATGGTGAAAATCGCGTCAAAAAAATGAATGAATTGAGTGCTGCTTCATAACAAAGAAGCGTAGCCAGTTTAGTGAGCCATTTTGCTTTATTCCATCATATTCTCAAGCCAAAATATAGTGAATCTTTGGCTCCATTGCAAATGATGGAAATAAAGTTGGTACTACCAAAATATGGCAGTAATTAATCCTATTTAGGGAATAAAAACATGATAGTCCTATTTCGGAATAGACAAACATATGAAGTCCTATTTAGGGCAATTTCCCTATGTAGTATAAAGAGGTTTCTTTAGGAGTCAGACGTTCTGCCAAACGGCACTAGTTTCTAATAATCTAGTGCTCACAACTTTCACGAAATCCTAAACAATATGATGGGTCTTGATGCTCAACAGTTTCAGAATTAGAAAGTGATTCTGAAAGGGAAAAAGTTCCTCCAGTGGGAATGACTGATGACCTCATGACAAAAACACCCAATGGCCACCAAATCACTCATAATCCCATTTTGAACACAATTGAAAGTCCACGGATTACCTGTGTTGGAAAACGGCGGATACTCTCAACCAAGTACCGATAAGATTCACGATCACCAGTCACAATCTCACCAACTGTTGGGATGATTGAGAATGAATAGAAATCATACCTGAAGGAGATTTATAAAGAATCAAGAATCACATAAATGAAGTAGTCCATAGAAAAGTTAAAATTAAGAAAACGCTGGTTATTTATGAAGCTTTTAGCTTATTTTCTCAGGGAAAAAAAATATGGATTGAAACTTTGAAATCCTCTAACTTGTTCCCAAAACAATGATACCAAATGTCCAATTATGAGCACCATTAATCCGACTTTCCCCGTTTCTTTATGATAATAATAACATGAAAATCTATCGAAGTCTAAGATAAGTTAAAAGTGCGATTTCCGGAATGAGGAAGTATCCTGGTGTCCTACATCATCATCATCATCATTACCTCAGTGCCGCAAAGGCTCCCACCTACAGTGGGGTAAGGGGGGGGTCGGATGTACGCAGTCTTACCCCTGTACTAAAGTGCGAAGTACAGGGGTAAGGGGGGGTCGGATGTACGCAGTCTTACCCCTGTACTAAAGCACAGAAAACTGTTTCCAGATGACCTATCCACATGCCACGCCCAATGAAAACACTGTACATTTCGAAATACTTACAGGTCTTTAAGAATTGGGACATCAACATGGCTTAGTTCAAGGCAAAGGAATCTTCCGCCTGGCTTGAGCACCCTAACAAACATACCAGAGCCACCCAAAACCCATTACATGCACTGGGTGAAAAACCTCTAACTGGAACACCAAAATGTCTACACAAATAACACCAGATTTTTAGAATATAAAAATGTAACTCTTTTTAGAGAATTAGATCAAATTTCAAAAACTCATTTTAAAAAACCTCTCTTTTTTATTATTGGACTGGAAGTGCTTTAATTTACCTATAAGCTTAAAAATAGCCATTGCACTTTGTGTGACGTTCCTAACTCTAAAACCAATTATGTATCAGGAAGAGCTTAGTATTTACCTATAAGCTTCAGAAAGAACCTTTTCTATGTGAGTAACATTCCTAATCCCAAAGGCAATTGTGTATCCATCCATGGAATTGTTCCCAAAGTTCAAGGCTTCAGCATCTCCCTCGACCCAAATGAGTGATTTGTCATCCGCAATGCCTAGATTTTCCAAACAGTGTTATCTTCAAGAGGCATGGTGGAAAACAAAAGCTTTCTTATTACTTGGTGGATAAAGTCAATTTTCTTTAATTATAAGCAATAACATATGGGTATTTACCTCTTTCCTGAGCCCGCTTCTTACCAACTCGCAACATGTTAGGGTTGATGTCACATACATAAATTTGGGTTTCGTTAATCACATTATCATCAAAGATACCTTGGAGGGCTCTGCGTTTTATACCCTTGACATTTTCAAGAATCCTGAATGCAACATCTCCTGTAAAGCTATGTCAGTTATATCTGGATCTTTAGTTGCTTGTTGATCATTGTAAAAAAGACCATGGGTCAGAAATCATTCTTGGGATTCAAGTCAGAATTGTGAAATTAAAAACACACCCAATGGACAAGTAATGCATCACAGGATATGGAGCTGTGCTACCTAGATAATTATTAACTTCATCCTACTTCCGATTGCTTTTTTAAAAATCAAGCACATTCAAACTTGTCATTTTCAGTTAAATCATAGTTATGAACTCTTAAGCATCTTTATTGAAAAATAATTTTTACAAACATGCTGGAAGTAATATACTGGAAGACACCTAGGCTGAGAACCTGAGACTATTACTTAGATAATATCATTAACCTCCAAGGACAAGGTCCAATGAATATGAATTAACAATCCTGTAACCAGATAACTTTTTTAATAACGATTCTCTATCTTCAATAAGACTGCGCATCACTGAGCTTGATGATTGAAAAGTTAAATATCTCACCCTTGGGTCGATGGGCCACCTAAGATGTTACCGTGTCAATTAGAAGTGGGGAATTATTCCCAGATTCTGCATTCCATTCCCAACCTCAACATTCCCGATCTCGATTAGCCGGGAGTTCAGGACATTGGATGTTTTTAATTGGAATGGAATTTTAGTTCTGCTTTAGTCTGGTCTGAACTAGTCTGGTAGATATTTGTTCTATGTGTATTTTACAAATGTCGAAGTCTGATCTGATTTATTTAAGTCTGATCTGATCAGTTTATGTTTGGTCTAATCTATTCTGGGACTGAAACTAGTTCAAGTAAAATCATCCTTTGTCCTCATCCCGACGGATGGAAGACAAAAATATCTTAAACAATGCTTCTCTAAGCTAAAAGTGTTAATTCTCAGAAGCAAAGAATCATCATGAGGCTTCCTGCTACCAAAGTTTCAATTGCAGAGCATTGCATAATCAAAACAACATACACTCACCTGTCCCACCAGCAACATCGAGATGCTTCATTCCAGGAAAAGGGTTCAATTTGGATACAAATCTGATAGAAATGAACTAAAAAATCAATCTCAGACAGCTTAAATTTGCAGAGTAAACTGTGAAATCAGGTTTTAAGAATGAGAGATCAGTGACCTAACTGGTCCTTCCATAGCCTGTGTAGTCCTCCACTCATCAAGTCGTTCATGAGATCATAGTTTGGAGCAACACTGGTAAATACATTTCCAACAAATTTGCTCTTTTCTTCTTCTGGTACTTCCTTGAACCCTGAATCCACAATCGTCAAAGTAAATGCTCTTCTTTTTTGCACACGCACTGTACATAGCGTAATTGCAGGAAGCAGCGATAGTTTCATTATCAGTATGGCCTAATACGACCAAATTGGTATATGATGTTTTGAAAGATCAAATTAGAATCGAATTGCTATTAGACTAACCGAAACTCGTAGCATGGGATGGAAAAGTAGACGACAGACGATATGCTGATGAGAGCAGTTTGCCTCTCCTCACAGGACCGCGAGCTAAAGACACCAGAGCAGCAGCCATGGTTGAACCTTGTGATTGTTCCGCTGGGTGGCTTTAAGTTAATTAATGCTGCCGATTTTCGCACTCAACACTCTGATAGATACTCGCACTCAATAGCTGCGGTCAAACCCCTGAATAATCATTTTATTTTTATACTGCCCCAAAATTTGGGACAAAAGGTGTGTGTAGCCTTGTAGGGGTGGGAAAAATAATGAAATTTCGCTATTCAGTATTTACCGTATCGAAAAATATAGAATTTATTGAAATGTTTGGTATACCAACACTTTCGCTACGGTATGGTATCAATATATATTTTGGAAATAAACGGTATACCGGTATACCATCATACCGTAATTCCAAGCCAATAATTTCCTTAAAATTATAAAAATAACTAGAAACACAACATTAATTCAAGGATAAATTACTTGATATCCATGTTTCTTGAATTACTAATACTTTATGTTGAAGATCGGTGTTATTTTAATTATATCTATGTTGTTTAAATTATTTAGCAGAATGTGTTGTTATCTTCATATATCATGTGTTAAATTATACGACGCTCATTCCCTCTTACATTAACTTATAAAAATATATGACTATTACTTTGAAGCCGCATATATTCAGCTAAAAAAATTCATAAATTTAATTCTACACATATACTCCCTCTAGGGATGGATTCGGGCCGGGTCGGGCCCGGGCCGGGCCTAGGCCCGGTCGGGCCGCCGGTTCAAGAACAGTGGGCTCGGGACCGGCCCGAGGGTTGGACGGGTCCGGTTCGGGCCGGGCCACCCGCCCGGGTCACGGGTCGGGTCCGGTTCGGGCCGGGCCGGTTAATTTTTTTTTATATATAATTTATATTTTATATTTTATAATTTATAGTTTTATACGAGTATTAAAAACAAACTTCAATTGCATTTATTTGAAATGAAATAGGAACTACATTTGAAAATTAAAACAAACTTTAAGAGATAAACATTTTGAAAATTGTAATCAATCGGAACTTCCCGCACCTCCCGATCCTTTGGCTTTGTCACATGACTTCATATGCTTGATTGCCATCCCGAATCCGCCTGAAGCCCCAATAATACATTTTTTTTCGCACCATTTACAAATTGCGTACCACATCCCGGTCTTCGGGTCCTTCTGCTTATCAAAATTATACCGTATAATGGCATTTTGATTTTCCATCTTAACTTCTTGGAGAAGAGAATTAGAGAGTAGATATATAATATATTGGAGAATAAGAGAATTAGAGAGTAGAGAGTTAAGAATAGGATTTAGGAAGAATTGGAGAAGAGATATGAAAAAATGTTTAAGAGTAGGAGAATTTATAGGTTTTTTTACCCCCCACCCCCCACCCCCCCCCTACCAGCCAACCCCCCGGACCCCCCCTTTACCCCACCCAACGGCTATATAGCCGTTTGGGTTGTCCCCAACCCCACCCCCAAGCCCTCAACGGCTAGTAGCCAAAAATAAAAATAAAAAGTTTTTTTTTTTTAAATAGACCCGGACCCGGGCCCGACCCGGCCGGGCCGGGTCACAAAAATGATGAACCGAGACCGCCCCACCCCTTCCCCCCGGTTCAGGTCCATACCCGGTCCCGGACCGCCTGACCGGGCCAGTCCCGGGCCCGCACAGTACCGGGCCGGGCCGGGTCACGGGCCGGGTGGCCCGAACCGAATCCATCACTAACTCCCTCGGACCCTCCGACCGGGAATTAACTTCCTAGTTTTACTTCATGAGTTTTTAGATAGGAAAAAAGTAAAGGTTGACTTTTCAAAATTACCCTTGCATAGTAAAAAGATGTAGTGGTCCAAAGTAACTAAAGGAGGTAAATAAATACTCGTAGTAAAAGTAAAGGGCAAACGAATCCTTTCAAAGAAAAAGCTTACCAAAATTAGAAATAAAGCAAGTATGAAATTAATTACGGGATATCCCAAAAAGGAAAAGTGAAAGTAAAGTTCAGGACGGAGAGAGTATAATTTTTTCGATTCTAGGGATGTTTTTACTTAGACTGTTTTCAGTCCCGGATCAGACCAAACTCAAACAGATCAAATCAGACCAAACTTAAACAGACTAGAGCAGAAAATTACAATCCAAGTAAAAATATCCTGGTTCAAATGATTGTAACTTTTTATCAGGTTTGATTTGTGATGCGAATGGGTTCTTATTTTTGTTTTATAGTTGGTCGATGTTTTAGTAATTGATCATCATTTAGGGTACTAAAGTAATTTGAAAAAATAACAAGAACATGACAGTTTGGAGGAAAAGATCATCTAGCACAATAGATGCGGGTAATGATATACCCAATCCAATCGGCTCGGTTGTCATCCTTGTGCAGAGGTAGTTAATCAAACAAGCGAACTCCATCAAAAGATAATGGACATCAATTGGACTTTTGTTCAGATTTAGCTTGATTCAAACTTGATTCCTAGATCCAAATTCCAAATCAACTGGAAGAATTCCGTGAGCTATTGGATTATTAGTTAGCGTTGACTAAAAATCTTGCTCGGTCTTGAAACGAGACCAGAAAATCAAACCCAGTCCAATCCCAAACAGTACTGGACCCAGTACTAGACCGAGCCAGACCGCATCCACCGGTAATTTCCTACAATTAAAAAATTGGAATTTTATTAATTCAAGACCCGAAAGATAGATTAATTATCAATTCAGAACCCGAAAGATGAAACATATCGGTATAGGACCCGAATGATAGAAAACTTTCAATTTAGGACCTAATGTCCATAGTTTTTCATTTATTTAATTTTTTATTAATTCCATTACTAATTTTTGATAAACTTTTCTTCACAAAAGTTTATTAGTTTAATAAAACTAAATAATATTTAAAATTTTTAAAATAAAAAACAAAATAAAATTTATGACAACTTAGGTCATAAATTAATAGTTTACAATCATTCAGATCCTACATTGATAGTTTTTCATCATTTGGGATGCATTTCATCTTTCAGGTTCCGGATTGATAATTCATCCATCATTCGAGTCCTAAATTGATAAAATTCCTAAAAAATGTATCTCAACTTTTCATTTTATACAATTATTAGCTAGAATGCACATGAAGTTGTTTGTATAATTATTCAAAATTGAAATCGGTTTTTTTACAATTATTAATTCTAACCCATTATTAGCTTTTAATGAATACACATTTTCAAACAGGCCTGCTCTTAACAGATTGCGCAATACTCGATCTATTATTAATTCTAACCCATTATAAGCTTTTAATGAATACACATTTTCAAACAGGCCTGCTCTTAACAGATTGTGCAATACTCGTTTTATCATAATAAAACGGGTCAGCGTAATTGCATGTTGGATGTTACGAAACAATGGGTTGAGAATGATACTTGTAGCCTTGTAGGTAGTTGTAAAACAGCGGGCATTCCCTTCATATTTATGGGAAACTAACTTTAGCCGTCTTTGTCATCTTGTCAGGTGAGCTGCTGCACCCGTGATTTGTGATAAATAATCAAGTATTCACTCATCACCATACCAGTACACAATATATACACTTGCCGGCTACCACCACCAATGGGATGAAATTAAAAATACTAAGCCAGCTTAATAAAAAGACGTGTATTATATAAATATTATATTGCACAGCCGCTGAATGTTATATAGCTTGCCAAAATTCCATTGCGCCCAGCATTTGAATTCGCCCACTACTGTTGGTGAAGGCTGTCTACGTACAGAATTTTCCACCTGCCTTCTCTCTCTATACATCATACTACACGTCTACACCTATCGATGAATTTGTGTGTGATTTGGTGGGGGGTGGGGTGAGGCTGAAGGAAAGACTTTCTAATATAAGAAAATGAATGGTGATGAGTACAAAAACCTTAGTCTCTTGAGGACTGCATGAGCTCGAACCACTGCAACCACATCCACATACTTACATCAGATGATGATAAGAAGAAGAAAATGCCAAAAAAACAATTCATTCAGTTACTCAGTCATGATTACTATAGTCCTTGCCTGTCTCAACAAATCAGCTAGCGTCCTGGGAAGGGATTCTACATTCTTCAACACCAGATAATACGGGAATGGGAACGAGTCCAAATACTTGTTGAACTTCACGCTTCCCCCCTGAAATGTGGCTTCCTGCAACACGAGAAATTCATTCATTAAAACCACATGGAAATTATTAACCCAAGAAACCCAAAAACAAACTGAGTGAAAACGATCAATAAAATACCTGAAGGTCTGTAATGGACTCTTCAGGGCTATCCAGCAGCAGGAATGCAACTAAGCGCTTTTTATTCATTAGGTCTCTCACACGCCGCTTCAATTTGTCCTGTACCAACAAGAGGACTTTTTTTACTTCAAGTCTTTGACCGGTTTTTCTTTCTACTAAGAAGAGTCATAGAGAGAGTAATAATACCTTCTCATGAAACCGACCATCTGCTATTATCAAAACAAGTTGCTGGAGAGGGCTATCTCCAGTTGGTAGCCTTGCATTTAAGGCAGCTTCATCAAGCATATTGCTCAAATACTTCACCAGATCAACCATTGGTTCATCTGCTATTGTGTTCTCTTGCTTAAATGTAAAACTTGATATCATCTGCTCCATTACATTTAAAGAAAGATACTTGTGAAAATCAGTTGGAAGGAGATAAAAGAAAATGAGTTATTTATCAGACTGCAATCTCTAAAAAATAGATTACAGACTTACTGACCTTAACTCCAGCCTCTCCAGTAAACGGCTGATCGAAATCATGCAACAGCCGGATATTCCCCTTTTTCCCAAAGCTTGCGACAGCCAACTTTCCCACCTCCAACTGAGACATTGCGCGGCACACCGTCACCAAAGCTTCCACAGCAACATGGCCACAACGTGATTCAGACATGCTTTGAGAATCATCCACAGCAATGACAACTTGATAATCACGTTTGTTTGGCTTTGTACGGCGCAGCCATATCTTATCTTTCCGATAATGACTTGCAATATAGGGAATTACCTGGGTAACAAAAATTACCATGTTCAAATGACTCCTGTCATCCAATACTAATATGCAGGAATGTTAAAAATTTTACCTTTTTCATATTGATCCTTTTGCCTGTCCTGTAATCCCCTCGGAGCTTGCTGGCTAGAGTGGGCTCCATAATCAAGCGTAACTGCTCAGCTAACTCCTGGGAAAGCCTTGTGGTGCGAAGTTCATAAGTTCTCCAAAGAGCCGCATCTTTCATGTCACCTGTTGATTCTTCTTCTAGCTTGCAGGCCTTACCCAAGTCATCATCATCAGTCATGGAGAGATTGCTGAATTGATTTATATCCTCGTTTAAATAATTCTTCACCACTGAAATCAGATTCAACGATGAACAACTTGACTCACCACCGACATGACCCATTCTATCCTCTTCAGCAGACTGTTCAGGTTGCTTGTCTGTTTCCGACCTCTCCAATGGCATTTCAATATCATTGTTGAACGTGGAAGCAGAACTAACAATAGCTTGGGAATGAAGTTGGAGCTTATTGAGATCCATTTCACTAGCATGTTCCTTTTTCTCGTTCACTCCAGCATCACCTTCAACATCATTTCCATTCACGTTTCTATCGATCTGGTCAGTCGTTGCTGGCCCAATTGCTTGGGCTGTCCCCTTATCGAATTCCCCTGTATATCGATATTCAACTGCATCATTATCTTCCAAGTCATCTGCACTCTGTAAGTTATCCTCTATATCAGTAGAAACATTTACTCTCTCTTTCCATCCATCAAGAGCATCTCCAACATTACGACATGGATTTGGCTGATTCCTACACAAGGGTGAGGAGTTATCTTGAAGGATTGGAGTTTCATTTCTATTACCACTTAGTAACTTGTCGCCATTAGATGAGTCAGCCACCATGATATCTTGATCATATGCATCAGAGCCTCCACCAGGAGCAAGGTTATGCTCCAGTCCACCGGCATTCGATCGTTCTGCCTCTTTGCTTGAGTTTTTCAAGTTTTCGGCATCAGGGTTATCATCTTTGGACTCAGGTAGATCTAGTCCACTTTGACCATTCTGCTCAGTTTGAGCAGCAAACGGGGAGGCATTAGGCTGAATAACATCTCCATTTGGCTCGAGTTGTTCCTCGTTTGCATCGCTTTCCTGAAGGCTGTCCTCCTCTTGAGCTCCACCAGATATTTTCTCATCAATGTGTTTGTCATCCGTTTCTCCCAGAATGTCATCCTTTGAGTCAGTTGGTTCCTCATCATTCTCACTGTTATCAGAGACATCAGGATTTGCATGATCTTCCTCCATGGGTTCAGTTTGTTCTGATGGATCCAAATCACCGCCATCATCTGCTTGACCTGCATCTTGCTCATCAAGTTTCAACCCTGCAGGATCAACATAAGCATTTCCTTCATCCAAATTCATGTCTTCGGTTTCATCATCAGGGCTTTCTGCGTTCCCATTTTCATCATGTTGTTTATCAGACTCCCCAGGATCGCATCCCTCTCTTTCATAATTCTCATCATCATTAGAGGAAGTATCATCTTTCGCTTGGAGTTCCTGATCATTTCCATTGTCGTTTACTGATTGCGCAGACTTATACTTCTCATCTATACTATCATCATCTTCGTCACCTTTCTTGTCCCAAGGTTTCTCATCAACTTTGTCACTGTGATCACCAGTGGGACCCATAGCAGAATCTATTTCCCCATCCTCCTCTTCATTGCCATCTTTGTCATCAATGGAATCTGTACTAAGACTATACGCAGGACCTGTAAGATCTTCTTCCATCTCAATTCCCTTATCTTTGGCACTTGACAAGTCATTTGAATCATTGTTCTCTTGCTCATTTGGCTGCAAAAAAAAATTATTAGTTACCGTGTTATTAGAGGTAAACAAAAATAGATACAAAGTGAACAAAAGACAAGTATGGGATTTTGTCAATCCATACTATAGAAGCCTCAATGAGTTGATCTTCATCAGTTATCTGATCACTGACATCATTACATCCAGTGCCCTCACCCATACCCGTACCACATGCATTTGGAATTTCATCTTGACAGGAATCGTTCATTTGGTCTTCTTTAGTACCATAACCATTGGAGAACAGTGAAGAAAAAACTTCTGCGAGGACATGGGTCATTACAGATACCTGCATTTTATAGAATGAATAGGTAATACAGAAAGATAAACTCAAACAGGCATACATAGGGATCAACATTATACAGAAAGCTGCCCATGAAAAACTAAAAGGAAAAAAGTTAATTATAATAATACCATCCTATGCATGACCAGAGAACAGTGCAGAAGACCTTCTCCAATAGCCATAATTGCATTTGACAAGCAATATAGATGTTTTAGATGTCTTCTAATGAGCGAAGTTAAATTTTTACTTTGGCGGCCATAATAATTCAATATTTTTCTCTGCACAAAGCACAAAAACAAATAAAAATTCAAATAATCATCGACAGAAACACCCAAACATGACAGATCAATAAAAAAACAAAATGATAGCAGCGCTCACAGCTACACAGATGGTCTTAAGTAATCTATCACTAATCACATCCAGTTGGAGTGTTACTATATTTGACTGCAGGAGCTCCTTCCACACACCAATATTCAGCTTATCAGGAAGATCATGCCCTAATGAGCCCATAGCATTAAGAGTGTCCATCATATATTTGCAGGTCTCCATCAGGGACAAACCAAAACTATTTTCAGCATCATGAAGAGTGGAACTAGAATGAACATCATTTTCTGAAGAGTCGCAATCAGCACCAAACTGTCCAACTATGAAGTTGGCCTGAAAATTGCAAAGCAACTATTTCAGATTTAAATGTTGAAAGGATTTGCAAAAGTATAGTGGTAATGCTAATCTTGGTAGAATGCAGTGCCCAGAAAAAACCCATACTATCAGCTACAAGTAACATCTCAATACCTTCTCAAATATATCAGTGAAATGCTCAAGCAGAATATTTTCAACTGCAGCTTCTCCATCCCCAATTTGCCTCCGGAAGCTGTGGAGTTCATTCTCAAAGGACTTGATCAATTCAAAATTTTGTGTTAACCTTTTCTCCATGTGTTCTGTAATGCCACAAGGATGCAATGGGGTTTCCCCTATGGTTGTGGTTGTAGCTCTATCAACACCAAGAACAAGATCATCCAGCAAATCCTGTTATATAGTTCCAATGGACAAAATTGAAGGGTAAGCTATCGCAGAAACTTGCATATGCCAAAATGAACATTGTTGCAAATTCAAAAAAAAATACTATGTCTTTTATTCCCATGCCACTTTAATAAAAAAAACTGAGGAACTGTGGATACAAAATAAGGGAAAAGTGGCATGTGACAATTAATGTTGCCTTTTCTATACTTCTTTTTCTTTTTGTTAGGCAGAAGATATTGTGGACTTTCCCAAGCAAACATCAATCTCCAGATTCACTTCTACTAAGTGTAAAATAGCTTCAATATAATGATAACATGGAAAACAGAGAATTGCAACAGCCTGTACAAAAATGAAGAGAAGTAGGCATTTTAAAATACAGAGATCGGCTAGTCTACAAAGAAGATTATATGATCCTTCTAGCAAAAACAGATCTGAAACAAGTTCATACTTATTATTTTCCACCAGGAAAGTAACTGGTTTTGTTCCAGTAACAAGTATTCCCTTCTCCCAAAAAGTCATCTTAAAAGTTCCACTTTTTAAAGTAACCAGGTTTCCAACATTACCCTTCTAACATAAGCCAAAGAGTAGTCATGCAAAAAGATGGAAGGGTAAATTTACGGACCTCTCCCACTAAAAACATATTTTTTGTCAAATTTATGCGTATAGTATTGGAAAGGTACTGTGTGCCACCAATAGGCAGATTTATTCATCCAGATTACCCATTTACATAAAATTAGTTTATGAAAAACTACCTTAGATTTTTTAATAACTGGAATGTGTTTTCCAATGAAAAGAAGAAAATCCGTTGCAGACTGTCTGACACTTGTGCAAGGACTCAAATGGTTATCCAGTACTGTTTGTAAGAACAAACGCTCTTCATGCAACAGGCAACATAAGCCATCAAAGAGTTGCTGCAAGAAAATGCACATTATGCATTTCAAATAAAAGTAATTTACATAAAAACAATTACCTCTGCTTATTAAAGGCCTACCTTTTGCTGCCACAAGCAATTAAAAGACTTGAAATGGTTTTGGGTCAAACACAGATTAGTGTTACCAGCAGAAGAAAAAGGGGAGTCCGAGAATATATTGACCAAAGGTAAACGACACTCCTTAAAGTGTGCTAGTTGTCGAGCAAAAGCATAGACAACTGCACGCTGTTCTTGTTGAATAGTAAGAAGATGGTCAATGTAAGACCCTGACCTCTCAACCTGCATTATACAAAAGAACCTCCGTTAGCCTGTACTTACATAATATAAACACAGTACACAATTTTGAAAAAAGAAGAAACTGAATTTTGCTTCACTCCAGATGATTAATTAACTGAAAACTACCTGTTCGAGAGTAAAATCCTTATGGAAGTTTAGGCTAATATTCTGCAATAGTTTCATTGATTTGATGCTCTTGAAGTAGTACTGATTAGCAGATTTCCATTTAGAATTATAATTTTCATCAGAAGAGGCCTGAAGCTGTCTAAGAATGAGATTTTCAGCAACACCAGATGATAGCCCAGTTTTCATCATGAGCAAGTCCCGCAGTTCGAATGACGGCTGAAGAAGCCAACATATTGATGCATTGGATTCTAGTTGTCCCTATATCACATAAAATAACAAAATGACATCATAAAATTAGTAAATGTAAGAGCATACAGGATTCCAAAGAACATAGTTTTCAGGAACTGGCATTCGACAAAATATATGGATATGTAAAAATGTACAGTCGAGCATAATTGTAGATAAGTTAGAATACTCGTGTAATTAGCTGTGATTTAATCCTTCTTATTAGATAATGATAGATACAGACAATTTCTAGATTCTTGAATTAACAAGACAATCAAGAATGGAGCAGATCAAACAAGAAAACTGAATGTTTATTAACAGAAGGAAAAGTACAGTAATAGTTCTGGGCAAATTTGAGAGTGCCAGAGCTCTCCAAAGTTCTCTTTTCTAATTCAATAACAGCCTACCATTCTAAGACTCCCCACTTCTATTTATAGAAATTATGTTTATAATACAAGCCTACTTATTATTATTTCTAATAATATGCCCAATCCTATCAGATAAGAAGTGGTAGGTAGTCAGATCCTGATTTTTAGGATTTTATCATTGAGGTTGTTAGCCTTGTACTCTATATATATTGTACTCGTGTGATTGAATAAACAAGTCAGATAATTCTTTCAAACTTTCATGGTAGTACCTCTTTGAATGTTGATCTGTGCTTAGACAACCCACACACATCCAAGACCTTGAGTAGATCTGAAAAAACTCTTCTTCTACTTGACTTCTTTTTATCATCATTCCACACCTCCACACAACCAATTAGAGTCCTACATATTTCATCTATTGTATGCCAAAGTCGATTCCAATTACCAGAGAATGAAATCTGTGAATACTGAGGTGGTAATCCATCCTTTAGGATCCTTCCGACTTCTGCATCATTGAAGCGTGCAACTTGATTTCAGATTATCTAAGAACTGGCATTTTATAGAAATAAACACTACAGATTTAAAAATCAAGAGTATGGTAGAAGTAACCTATAATTTTTTCCTTAAAGGATGTGCCAGCAAAACAAGTTTCTGTTATACTGCTGACGTGCGGATCTTGAACAATATCCTCAACTTCCTTCCACCAAGCAGCATATAGAGGACTGTAGTAGAAAGAGACTATTTTAGCGATGACCTAAACTACAGCAACATATTATAAGAGAAAATGAACTACCTATTCTTTATGAACTCAATCTGATCACAAAGTGCATTAAGAATATTCCTGCTCCTCTCATAAAAGTCAACTGAAAAATTTGTGTCTTGGATGGTTTGAGAACTTAGTCCCCTTCCTTTTACTTCTTGATTGATAATAAACATAACAGGTTGTTGAAGTAAATCCTGCATGAATACAACAAGTAGAAATTCAAAAATACTGGAAGCATATTGTATGGAGTGAAAAACTCTAAAATTAGATCATGTATATTAGATTAAACATGGAAGGGAAAAGGGTATCTCCCTCGATAGAGATAAACTAAATAATAGTCAAGACTCAAGAATAAGGATTAGTTTGACTCAGAGAGCCATGAGAAAAATGTAGAATAATTCATTTCAATTCAAATATATTTATTCTAGTTGTTTCCTTTTATTCTGCTCTCCTTATTCTAGTTGTCTCCATGTATATAGCTGTCCTTTTAGGCAGTCTCTTATTAATGAGTCTGTAATAAGTTTAGATCTGTTTCCTAATAACCTTATTTCTGCCTATATAAAGCTATCAGGTTGAATATAGTATTAAGTTTGGAATAATTGATCTCTTGATTTGCTTGTGGAACCAGGGATCACCATATCATAGACATGGATACCTATGAAGGCCAATGATAGATAATAAAAGCACCATAGGCTACCCTAAAATACAGAAGAAATAAATATACTTCAACAATAACCAAAGAACTATCTTAAGCAGATGCTACTCACGGCAAATTTCTGAACAAGTTTTTTGAGTTTATGCCTAGTTCGCCCAAAGCTCTCTAGGGCTGCATAATCCTCAATCCGTTCCCATCGACACAGCTTCACAAGCTCTTTTAGTTCCTTCTCAATATTCCTTTTACTGGCATCCATGTGATCCAAAACCCTTGGAGGTAAAATACGACAAAGAAACAAATAGAATGGAAGAGGAGTACATCAGATTCAAAGTTCTCAATCTGAAAACATGGCTGTTGAATAAACATTATGGATATGAGAGAACTCACATTGGCAAGAACTGCACATAATAGCCAAAACTGTTATATAGAACTTTCACAATCTCCTCAGGGCTAAAAAATACAAGAATAGTTAGCACTCTGTTCTTTAATACAGTCAGATACACAAGTCTAACTTTGAATAAGATGGCATGTGAGAATAGTTCATGTACTAAGACTGTAATTACCTTGAAGAAGAATCTCTGAGTGTGCAATTACTCAGGTGTCCATGAAAAGCAACAAGTAGTTGAAGACGCTTTCTAAAATCACCAACACAGGACATTTGAAAAAATGCCTCCAAGCTGTATGTAGTATTAGGGTCAAATAAAAAATACAAATTCTTGCATTACAGATAAACTTGATGATTAATGGGTAAAATGGTATAGAAAATGTGCATTGCCTTTCAACCACAGATGAAGTATATCCAATATTGTCAGTAGACTGTTTTGGCCGAAGTACTGAATACATCGGTAACCATAACTGCATTTATAGATATTAGTAAATAGTTAATCCAACAATCCAATCATTTTGGCACAAAGAAGAAAACAATCATTAACAATATAAGATAGACCACATTGAATATCTTGACAGCATAAATCATTACGATCTGTCAGTACAGCAGTACCAGGAATTTATCCATACAAGGAGAGAAAAAACTACCTTTGAAGCATTCGTTTCAAACTGAGCTTGAACTTCATTAAGCAAAGCAGGCCAAGATTCAAACTCCAGCTTATGCCACGAGGATACCAAACTAAAAATACATCTCATTTGATCTAGGGCATATCCATTAGAAGGGAACATTGGTTAGAAACTTATCAGTGCAGTACAACATTATGAAGATACCATGGTCCAATAATCAGAAAATGGTGATTATTTACCAGCCAATGGAAATTTGGCAACTGTCTGAAATAACATGTTGACTCGATTAAGCAAGAAATGCAAGCCAGAGAGAGCCTTCACAAACAAATACAAAGATAAGAGTAGAAACTAAAGAGCACCAATATGAGTTTAGAATTATATATGATTCCAATCCTATGTATGCAAATATTAGAATATACTCTACCTTAGCGAGAGCAGCACTTAGAGGAATAGCCAAGAGCATGTCAATAATATCAACTATCTTCTGAAGAGCAGGATGGTTATCCCATTCATTCAAAAGATTGAGAACTTTCTGTTTAAGAGAAGTTAAAGGAGCTACCATTGATGCCATAGCAGGTGCATTTGAATCCTAAGAGGGGTATCAATTGCATTGGAATGAGAAGGTGCAGCTTTATTGATACGAAAGTACTTGATACACATAACTATAACAATCCAAAACAAACAATGAATAACCTTATAAAAGTTGTATGCGAGCCCTGATTGACTGGGAGAAACAAATATCTGTTTATGCTCCAAACACAGGCGAAGTAAGTGTTCTGGAACAACCTTAGCATCCAAACTTGAGCAGAAGAAACCATCTAAACCTGCAAAAAGCATATACGGAGAATATTTAATGATAATCCTAAGAAACTAAAAATCTGATAGCTCTGATGCCAGATTACCTTTTTTCATTCTTACACCCAGTGAATATGATTCGATGAAAGAAGACAATCTGTCTGTATCAGATATGTGAATATTACCAGGCTGTAATACAGAGAAAATCGTCTAGTCACAAATCTTGCTACACAAAAAACTTAGAAATATGACTGCAGCATATAATTTTCCCAGTGCGCTGGATGTACTGTAATTTATTAGTTCACAGCTCACAGGAATGATATCTCACTGCTCCACACACAAGACTTACATTTTCAACAAGATCTACTGAACCAAATATTTCATTGTGAATGTGGATCATGTCATTTATAATGGGCTCTTCAACAGAATTCCATTCATCCTCTGGGGTTTCACATTCCTTCTCAGTTTTCCCCTAGTATAATGAAAACACACAACAATTTTGTTTTAAAGAAAGATGATAAATAAGACTAATAGTAGGTAATGAGGCACTCAGGAGAGCCATTACATTGTCAGAAATTTCATCACCATAGAACATTTCCTTCCAATCTGAGAAACTCTCATATGAAGCAGCACTTTCCAAATTGGAAACATCACTGTCAAGGATATTTTCTATTTTAAGCGGGCGCGATCGGAACCTAACTAGTTGATCACTGTTGTCTTCTTCTTTCATTCTGATATGCAGTTTCATGTGCAACCAACGCCTTGCAAAATCATCAAATATCTTCTCCAAAAGCTGAAAGATTTTGACAAAAGATATTTCATTTGATGAACAACTTTCATACTGACTAAGTAATTAAGGATTATAGTTATACTCACTGCAAATGATGAGTTATCCATGAAGTGAGCATCAGCTGCAGAGTGCATCAATCGAACGAGAATATTGTGGTACAGAGAAGCTGGGATCTGCTAGCACAAGAACCCTCTTAAATAATTAATAAGGTGTCACTTTTCAGTTAACCTACATGATCATTCATGCTCTGTACAATTGGGAGAGAAGAAAATAAACAGAAGAATCACGAACCTTTCCATCAGCTATGCCATCATCTTTGGTAGAAACAAGATCCTCAAGAAAATGCAAGTCCAGTGTGTTAACATCTGTAGGCAGCTCAATATCATTCCAGGAGAACTTGTACAGCGTACTGTCAACCTTGTAACTTGCATATTTTTTTGCACATACCCTTGGGAATCTCATAAAGGAATATATTGTCCCCTGCCATGTAGCAGGAGAAGTTACAGACAGCAGAAATGGAATCAAATACATGTGAGTAATAAAAATATATTGGACTATGAGTTACCAGAACAGAATCCATGTCCTGTTTACCCAGTTGATCAAGTAACTTTCTATCTAAAGCATTTGAAATAACAAGAGAGGAGCCTAATTTCATTTCATATATTGACATCTGTATTAGTTGAACAATATCCACGTAATCAGCATATTCTTCTGAAAGACGCTCAATAAAGCGTGTACAGGTCTCCTGCAATTTGAAATTGAAACTAATTCAATGCGAAATTAACGCAAAAATATATAACATGTCATAATCAGCAACGTAGCAGTCATATCATAGTAAACAACAAATCTTACCTGCCAATTTCGGAGTTGATCAGACATATCCTTCACATGCTCACTTTTTGCAAATGTAATCCAGCTAAAAACCCTCTGGACCGACACAAAAATATATAACATGTCATAATCAGCAACATAGCAGTCATATCTTAGTAAACAACAAATGTTACCTGCCAATTTTGGATTCGATCAGACACATCCTCCACATGCTCACTTTTTGGGGATGTAATCCAGCTAAAAACCCTCTGGACTGACTTAAGAAAATCATCACAGTCGTATTTCAAATTCCTGAACTTCCCAGGATCAGAGCGGAATACAATCTGAGTAAAAGAAAGAAGACAATAGCGGTTATCTGAGGCAAAGTGGCAATATAGTTCAAAGCAATTATAGGTTGCATATGGCACACTTCTGACAATTGCATGCCAAAATTAGCAATGATAAGTAATAAGTTATTGATGCAGTGTGTACTGAATACTGAAGTCTTGGTTTATATAAAAACAAGAGATAATAAGAACCCTAATTTTTTGAATACATCAAGGGAGCGTATCAGATACAAGTAAACATTGACGACCAGAAGAAAGAGTGATGAAGACACTTGTGTAATAGGAAAATGTGTTTATCTTGTCCAATCTGTAGGAAATTATTACGATATAAGAAAAGACTTTTACTATGATGAAGACTTTTTTACGATATAGAAAAGACTTTTTACTATGATGCTACGCCTTTATGTTCAACATGAAAACACTTCGGTGGGGTGGGGGGTAACAGCCCTTTGAGGTTTCCCTAGATGATCCACCACTATTGGACATTATCATCAAAAGTATATGTCATTGTGTCATCACATCAAAAACAGAAGTTTCACTATCGATGGTAAAGATCAGATATGTGAACTCTAAAACAATTATCAACATTAAAATGACAATAACTATTAAAATATCCCATACCTTTTTTTGAAGATTCCTCAGCTTATTGTTGAGGCCCTCCAGCACATTGGTATGTTTATCATCTTCTCTTAACTGAAAAGAACCTGCTAAGTAAGTACTCTGTCTTCTTACCTGTAAAAGAAGACATCAGTTATTATATAAACTTGGTCAAGGAGCAGACTGATAAGCTTGACACTAGGTCTTCTTCTTGCAACACTTCCCATCTTGGTTGTCAAATTTTTTGTTTAGGAATAGACATTCAAGACTATGAAGGCAAAAACCCTCATCTTCAAGAAGCTACACGACTGAGTCATTTATGAAGCGTCTCTTGATCGATAACAAGTTCCAATTGTACCAAAAGTGAGTACTTGTAACACCCCGATTATTAATTATTTTAGTCAGTTAAATAAGTTTGTTTTATGAATAATGTGATTTATTGTTTTAACATGTTTTGTTTGTGGCAGATAATGTTAACCGATAAGCTCTAATAATTTTAAGTGATAAAATAAATGTTTATCTATAGTTTCAGTATATTTTTTTAAAGAGAGAATGTTATTTTCAGTTGGATCAGAAGTACTTTTTATAAGGTTGAGATGCCCGAATCAGTTATTTTAGCCCAAATAAGTCTCTATCATACTAAATCCCTAGAAAGGCATAACCTAAATATATTATCACCCATAAACCCTGAGGATCAACTCTCTCCTCTACCGGTAGCCGCTGTCCTAGTCTCTCAATTCTGCTCTTCATTTGTCTTGGTGCCAAAGCTCTGGGTTCTAATCTAGTTTTATCAAGCTGCTTCAGGTAATCAAAGAATCTCACCTTTCTTTTCAATCGTAGAGAAAGATGCCAAAAAAAAAAAAAGAAACAACCCGTTGCTCTACCAATAGTGATCAACCCAAAGTCTCTTTAAATCAATTCTATCCCTACATTTTGAAACAATAAATCCCCGTCAGGTTTTGAATATCTATTTTGATTAACTATTTCAAGTTCTCTAAGTTTCATATGTAAACTTTTAGTTCGAATTTAATAACATCAGTATTTCTTTTCTTTTTACCCTGGAAGATCCTGAATTTTATATCATAAATAGTAAGTTAAACCAAAAGTTGTTATGACAATTGGTTTTAAGTTCAGGTAGTTAATTTCACAAATACTCCGTAGTAATAGATTAGAAGTAGTACTTTTAATCAGTCTCTATTGATTTTGATGTTCTGATACTTGAGATGAATAATGTTCATTTGTTTTAAAAAAATTGAAACTTCGAGTAGAGCAATGTAAGATGGTTTGAGAGTTCTGTTTAAATAATATAACGAGTTCTCATTATACTTTTATATTTAATTAAAGATTTTTACGAAGAGCTTATCGGAAGACATTATCAAGGTGTCACACATATTTGAGTATTTGATTTCAGCTGATAGCAGGTAAGTTCACTCCCACCTGTACATGTTTGTTCAACCAAATGAAAGAAAGAAGTCTGGTTGATTTTTAGTAGATAATTTTAGACTATTTGCTATTATGTGAGCTTGGTGAATTATTTGATGAGTTATTGTAATTGTTGTATTAAGTTATGTTTATTATCTGGCATAGTCAAGATTATGTCACTACTTTATTTCAAGATTTTAATGATGTTTTTACCCAAATGTCACTATAAAAAGAATTAATATTTAAAGTGAAAGATCAGGTGATATGTACTCGGGAACAAGTTCCCTCAGATTATCAGTTTATCAGTTCCAGAGAGTTCGATATGTTTAGTGGGTCGCTCCCCTGAGCTATCGGATTGGCGCCTTTGAGTACATATCACGGGCCCACAGTTAAAATTAGCCACAAAGAGTTTTACAGAAAGTTATGAGATCCCTTTCAGAATGTTTTACAGAAAGTTGTTTTTGAGATCTCTTTCAGAAAGTTTTACATAAATGTTTTGAGAAAGAAAATTTGAGATCTCTCCAGTAGTTTTAAGAAATTATTTTAGAAAATATTTTCTTTTGGGATCTCTCTCAGAATTTATTCAAGAAGCTGTTTGTTAATTGTTTGTTTAGTGCATGCTTATAGCCTAAATTTATCTATTGATAAATTAGCATAGACTTCGCAGATATTTTTGTGGATCCATAGTGACTTACTAAGCGTAAAGCTTATCAGTCCTCTTTCTTCGCATGTACAGATACTAAAGGTAAGGCCAAGGCCTAGGAAGATGATGAGAGAGTGAACGCGTGCCGAAATGAGTTAACAGGAACGACCTTGGCGGCTTCTAGCTAGTTACTATTTTTTTTAGTATTTCAGATGTTATATTAAAGTGATTATTATTACTTTATTTTATTTGAAGATTTGAAGTTTTAGTAAATTCCCGGATCCAGGTGGTTATCACATTTTGCTGGTGATAACTAGATTTTATTGAGTTTTTATTTGGAGCTATATTTTTGTTATGTTGATATTTTATCAGGGTTATTTAGTAAACAAGCGGCCGTTATATTGCAGTTTTTTTAAAGTAGTAAGTTTATGTAACGTTTCCTTTAACCCTGAGAGGGGCGTTACAAATTTGGTATCAGAGCCAGGCTGTCCCGTAACTTCATTTGTCATCGTACACGTGCTCATCATCTTCCAAGTAAGTATTTAAAGTTAGTTTTAAATTTCTGTGCTTGAGCAAGAAGAGTTTTATTAGATAGAGAACAGAAGTGAGAATGTTTTGCCTTTTGTATTGTGTATGGTACATAAATAAAAGTTCATATTTAGGTGCCTTAAGAAAATGAGGAGAACTCGTGGTCGTCCAGTTGGTAGCAACAATGAGCAAGCAAACAATCACGAGCAGGATTTGGCAGGATTAGTAGCGCAACTTCAGAGACAGTTGCAGGAGCAGCAACAAACCATCGACCGTTTGACCGCGAACGATCAAAGGGGCGGTGGTGAAGGGGGAAATGCTGGAAATAATCATGCTAGGGGACACGGAGCACCGAGACAAGAACCTTTGATGATCACATGGAGGAAGATCAAGCCCGCGGATTTCGAAGGGGGTCCAGACCCTCTAGCTGCTCAGGGATGGCTGAAGACCGTGGAAGGCATTGCTAATGGGTTGGAACTAGCAGATAATGACAAGGTTCGATGTGCATCTTACAGTCTCACCATGGATGCTCGAATATGGTGGGAGACTGTGGAAACAAGGTACAACATCACGCAGATGACATGGGAGCAGTTCAAAGAGGAGTTCACCAACCAGTATTTCAACGCTAGTGTCACACGTAGGTACCGGGATGAGCTTCAGAGTCTACGCCAGGGAACCATGGATGTTACAACCTTGGCGGCAAAATTTCAGAGGCTGCTACGTATTTGTCCTACAGCTGCCCCGACGGAAAGAGATAAGGTGAGGATGTTCCTGGCAGCTCTTAGGAAGGATATAGCAGTTCACTTGGAGAATGGCAATCAGACTCCAGCTACACTAGCTGACTGTGTTTTTATAGCAACTCAAAAGAAGTACTACATCTCTAGCGGTCCAGTACCCGCTCAGCCGCAGCCTGTGCCTTCGCAGTCACAGAATCAGTCACATCGACACATGAACAATTCGAAGAGTAACAAGAAGAGAAACTTCACGGGCAATGATGGAAAAGGAGCTGGTCACCATCAGGGACACCAAAATAAACAGATGAAATTTCCACTGTGTACAAATTGTGGCCGTAATCATCCAGGACAATGCAGATTGGGTTCTAGAGCTTGCTACACTTGCGGCCTTGAGGGCCATATGTCGAGAGATTGTCCAAGAAAGAGTCAGCAAAACTACCAGATCACTCACATGCCAAGAAATCCAACACCTTCAGCGGCTGTCCATAATATGCAGGCTTATCTAGAAGGACCATCCATCCAGCAAGGGCGTCTTGAGGCACCACCAGAGGCTCCGGTTGCTAGAGTGTTCACAATCTCGAAAGAGGAGGCATCGATAAATCCCGGTGTTGTCACAGGTCAGATACTTGTTCTTAATAGATATGCTAATGTGTTATTTGACACTGGAGCCACGCATTCCTTTGTATCTCTTGAGTTTGCTAGATCCTTAGCAGCACATCAAGATAAGTTAGATTATAAGTTCACCACAGCACTTCCGTCAGGAGAGATCATGTTGTCGACTCATTGGTTACGAGCAGTGCCAATGAGTATTGCAGGGAGAGAGTTATTTGTGGATCTGATCGTGCTTGATATGAGAGATTATGACGTGATTCTCGACATGGATTTTCTGCAGAAGTATAGTGCTTCAATTATATGCCGAAAAAGAATTGTTAGTTTTGCGCCTGCAGGGTCTAATCCTTTCTTGTTTCTTGGGGAGCCAAAAGGATCAGGGAAGGTGATGATTTCTGCATTGCAAGCAAGGAGACTTATTCGGAGTGGATGTGAAGCTTTCTTAGCTCACATTGTAGACAAGAGCACTGGAGAACCCATCCAGTTATCTAAAGTTCCAATTGTGGAGGATTACAGTGATGTTTTTCCCGAAGATCTTCCTGGGCTACCACCGAGTAGAGAGATTGAGTTCGAGATGGAGCTGCTGCCCGGTACTGCACCAATATCTAGAGCACCATATCGAATGGCCCCAGCGGAGTTACAAGAACTCCACAAACAGTTGCAGGAGTTGCTAGAGAAGGGTTTCATTCGGCCCAGTTACTCACCGTGGGGAGCTCCAGTATTGTTCGTGAAAAAGAAAGATGGCACAATGAGGTTGTGCATAGATTATAGAGTGCTAAATAAAGTGACTATCAAGAATAGGTATCCCCTGCCTAGAATTGATGACCTGTTTGACCAGTTGAAGGGAGCGGTGATTTTCTCCAAGATTGACCTTCGTTCAGGGTATCATCAGCTAAGAATCAAAGAAGGAGACATCCCAAAAACAGCTTTCAGGTCGCGGTATGGACACTATGAATTTGTGGTTATGCCTTTCGGCTTAACTAATGCTCCAGCGACGTTCATGGATTTGATGAATAGAGTGTTCAGGGAGTTTCTTGACAAGTTTGTCATTATTTTCATTGATGATATTTTGATCTACTCAAAGTCCAAGAAGGAGCATGAAGAACACTTGAGAGAAGTATTGGAGACGCTTAGAAAACATAAGCTATATGCTAAGTTTTCAAAGTGTGAGTTCTGGCTTGATCATGTAGCATTCCTTGGCCACGTAGTTTCAAAGCAGGGGGTTTCGGTGGATCCCTCGAAAGTAGCAGCTGTCCGAGATTGGAGCAGGCCGAAGAATGCGAAAGAAGTTCGAAGTTTTTTAGGCCTTGCGGGGTATTATAGGAAGTTTGTGGAAGGCTTCTCTGCCATAGCTCTTCCATTGACTACCTTGACCCGTAAGGGTAAGAAATTTGAGTGGACTGATCGTTGTGAGAAGAGTTTCCAAGAGCTGAAAGATAGGTTGACATCTGCACCCGTTTTAGCACTCCCAGAAGGAAAAGAAGGGTTTGTTATCTACACAGATGCATCGAAGATAGGACTTGGAGCAGTTCTTATGCAGAATGAACGAGTAATTGCTTACGCGTCTCGGCAACTCAAGGACTATGAAGTGAATTATCCTACACATGACTTGGAGTTGGCAGCGGTGATACATGCGTTGAAAATTTGGAGGCATTACTTGTATGGAGTTCAGTGCAAGATCTTCACTGATCATAAAAGCCTAAAATACATATTCACACAGAAGGACCTCAACATGAGGCAAAGAAGGTGGCTTGAGCTAGTGAAAGATTATGATTGTGAGATCCTTTATCATCCGGGGAAAGCCAACAAGGTAGCAGATGCACTTAGTAGGAAGTCTTCTGCAACAGTAATGTCCATGATGGTAATGGATCCAAGGCTGAGGAAGGAAATTGAAGATTTTGAGTTGGAGATTGTAGGTGGGCGACTAGCAGCTATGACAGTGACTCCATCAATATTTGAGGACATGGCTATGAAGCAAGAACTTGATCCCGAGTTAGTTAAGTTGAAGGAGTGCGTCAAGGAGGGAAAATGTCCTGAGTTTCGTTTGGATGAGAATGGGAGATTATTACTCCAAAACAGGTTGTGCATCCCGGACATCGAGGGGTTGAGGAAGCAGATTATGAAGGAGGCTCATGAGACACCATTCACTATGCATCCTGGTTCGACCAAGATGTACCACGACTTGAAGGAAAGCTTTTGGTGGTCAGGGATGAAGAAAGATGTTGCAAAGTTCGTTCAGGCATGTTTGACGTGTCAACAAGTTAAGGCTGAACATCAAAGACCAGGCGGAGAACTTCAGCCTATCCAGATTCCAGAGTGGAAATGGGATGAGATATCAATGGATTTTATTATGGGTTTACCGAAGACAACTGGAGGTTACGACGCTATATGGGTTATAGTGGACAGATTGACTAAATCTGCTCATTTTATCCCAATTTCAACAAGTATTTCTTTGGAGAAGTTGGCAAAAATATATATACAGGAGATTGTTAGATTGCATGGTATTCCGAAGAGTATTATTTCAGACAGAGATTCCAGATTTACGTCTCACTTTTGGAAGTGTGTACAAAAATCATTGGGCACGAAGTTGAAGTTTAGTACTGCTTTTCATCCTCAGACAGATGGCCAGACGGAGAGGACAAATCAGATTTTAGAGGATATGTTACGGGCATGTGCTCTTGATTTTCAAGGAGGATGGGCTAAATACCTTAGTTTGGCGGAATTTGCTTATAATAATAGTTATCAAGCAACCATCGGCATGGCTCCATATGAGGCGTTGTATGGGAGGAGGTGTAGATCCCCCATATCATGGTATGAAACGGGAGAAAAGAAGGTTCTAGAAGAAGAATTACAAGGAAGGACTGAGTTGATAGATGCGACCTCAGAAGCTATTAAGAGTATCCGACAAAGGATAGAATCTGCCCAGTGCAGACAGAAGAGTTATGCAGATGTTCGAAGGAGACCTCTAGAATTCGAAGTGGGTGAATTTGTTTTTGTCAAGATAGCCCCGATGAAGGGCGTGATGCGATTTGGGAAGAAAGGGAAGCTTAGCCCCAGATTCACTGGACCATATGAGATCACCCGACGAGTTGGGAAGGTAGCTTATGAGCTCGCGCTACCTGAAGAGTTTTCTGGCATTCATAATGTCTTCCATATTTCGATGTTGAGAAAATACTTTGTTGATCCGGAGCATGTTTTGATACCCCCAACAGTAGAAGTGCAAAATGATTTGTCTTACGAGGAGAAGCCAGTAAAAATTCTTGATCACGAGGTTAGACGTCTCCGGAATAAAGAGATAGCTCTAGTAAAGGTGTTGTGGCGGAATCACAAAGTTGAAGAAGCTACTTGGGAAGTGGAAGATGACATGAGACGTCGTTATCCCGAGTTGTTCTAAGTTTCGAGGACGAAACTTTTATAAGGTGGGAGGGGTTGTAACACCCCGATTATTAATTATTTTAGTCGGTTAAATAAGTTTGTTTTATGAATAATGTGATTTATTGTTTTAACATGTTTTGTTTGTGGCAGATAATGTTAACCGATAAGCTCTAATAATTTTAAGTGATAAAATAAATGTTTATCTATAGTTTCAGTATATTTTTTTAAAGAGAGAATGTTATTTTCAGTTGGATCAGAAGTACTTTTTATAAGGTTGAGATGCCCGAATCAGTTATTTTAGCCCAAATAAGTCTCTATCATACTAAATCCCTAGAAAGGCATAACCTAAATATATTATCACCCATAAACCCTGAGGATCAACTCTCTCCTCTACCGGTAGCCGCTGTCCTAGTCTCTCAATTCTGCTCTTCATTTGTCTTGGTGCCAAAGCTCTGGGTTCTAATCTAGTTTTATCAAGCTGCTTCAGGTAATCAAAGAATCTCACCTTTCTTTTCAATCGTAGAGAAAGATGCCAAAAAAAAAAAAAAGAAACAACCCGTTGCTCTACCAATAGTGATCAACCCAAAGTCTCTTTAAATCAATTCTATCCCTACATTTTGAAACAATAAATCCCCGTCAGGTTTTGAATATCTATTTTGATTAACTATTTCAAGTTCTCTAAGTTTCATATGTAAACTTTTAGTTCGAATTTAATAACATCAGTATTTCTTTTCTTTTTACCCTGGAAGATCCTGAATTTTATATCATAAATAGTAAGTTAAACCAAAAGTTGTTATGACAATTGGTTTTAAGTTCAGGTAGTTAATTTCACAAATACTCCGTAGTAATAGATTAGAAGTAGTACTTTTAATCAGTCTCTATTGATTTTGATGTTCTGATACTTGAGATGAATAATGTTCATTTGTTTTAAAAAAATTGAAACTTCGAGTAGAGCAATGTAAGATGGTTTGAGAGTTCTGTTTAAATAATATAACGAGTTCTCATTATACTTTTATATTTAATTAAAGATTTTTACGAAGAGCTTATCGGAAGACATTATCAAGGTGTCACACATATTTGAGTATTTGATTTCAGCTGATAGCAGGTAAGTTCACTCCCACCTGTACATGTTTGTTCAACCAAATGAAAGAAAGAAGTCTGGTTGATTTTTAGTAGATAATTTTAGACTATTTGCTATTATGTGAGCTTGGTGAATTATTTGATGAGTTATTGTAATTGTTGTATTAAGTTATGTTTATTATCTGGCATAGTCAAGATTATGTCACTACTTTATTTCAAGATTTTAATGATGTTTTTACCCAAATGTCACTATAAAAAGAATTAATATTTAAAGTGAAAGATCAGGTGATATGTACTCGGGAACAAGTTCCCTCAGATTATCAGTTTATCAGTTCCAGAGAGTTCGATATGTTTAGTGGGTCGCTCCCCTGAGCTATCGGATTGGCGCCTTTGAGTACATATCACGGGCCCACAGTTAAAATTAGCCACAGAGTTTTACAGAAAGTTATGAGATCCCTTTCAGAATGTTTTACAGAAAGTTGTTTTTGAGATCTCTTTCAGAAAGTTTTACATAAATGTTTTGAGAAAGAAAATTTGAGATCTCTCCAGTAGTTTTAAGAAATTATTTTAGAAAATATTTTCTTTTGGGATCTCTCTCAGAATTTATTCAAGAAGCTGTTTGTTAATTGTTTGTTTAGTGCATGCTTATAGCCTAAATTTATCTATTGATAAATTAGCATAGACTTCGCAGATATTTTTGTGGATCCATAGTGACTTACTAAGCGTAAAGCTTATCAGTCCTCTTTCTTCGCATGTACAGATACTAAAGGTAAGGCCAAGGCCTAGGAAGATGATGAGAGAGTGAACGCGTGCCGAAATGAGTTAACAGGAACGACCTTGGCGGCTTCTAGCTAGTTACTATTTTTTTTAGTATTTCAGATGTTATATTAAAGTGATTATTATTACTTTATTTTATTTGAAGATTTGAAGTTTTAGTAAATTCCCGGATCCAGGTGGTTATCACATTTTGCTGGTGATAACTAGATTTTATTGAGTTTTTATTTGGAGCTATATTTTTGTTATGTTGATATTTTATCAGGGTTATTTAGTAAACAAGCGGCCGTTATATTGCAGTTTTTTTAAAGTAGTAAGTTTATGTAACGTTTCCTTTAACCCTGAGAGGGGCGTTACAGTACTAAAAGTTCCAATAGAACATAATTAAATATTTATATGTGCCATCATCTCAAAGGAAAATTTAGATATACATCGTATTGCTCATAAAAATATATATGTTCCAAAAACAATCTCGAGGTGGAAGTGCTTAACAGCAAGTGATAAAGGAGGCAACTCAAGCTAAAGATATAGCAAAATAAATATAAACCATACCTGATTCTCAAGTTCAAGGGAAGCAATTTTTTGTGTGAGCTGAGAGTGCTTTACGGAGTATTTTAAAGTGGGATCCAAATATGCGTGACTAATCACAAGGCAGTATCGTAAGCCACCAACCATTAACCATGCAGAGCCCAGATTATGCAAAATATCTACAAAAGAACAGAGGTAACTGAAACATCAAAATAAAACTAAAAATGGAACTCCAATCCTAATAGTTAAAATAAAACATAGCAATTACCAATTGTAAATCAAACCCAAAAAGTCATGTATTTACCGCTTGAACATGGGATATAAAGGACACGGAGCACTGGCTCAATTAAGAGATTAAGCAATGATGTAAAATGTTTATGGTTCGAAGATGCAAGAAGAGGAATCACGTCCTTCACATCCTTCTCCTGAAACATATATAAAACGACTAGATAGTTACACACTGATAAAAATGAATTTTGTTTATAAGATAGTTTTCCATTGACAAACAATTTGTGTTCTCCCCAACATATCTTTAAATCTGCCAGGCTCGTCTTAGTAAAGTGACATCCATCAAGTTAAGGATACAGTGAAACAAATCGGTAAAAGAACATTTTTAGAGAAAACATCTTTAACATATAAATCTTAAACAATGGATACCGTAATCATCTTCTCGCGAGTAGAACGAAAGAAAGACTTGATTCTCATGTACGTGTCTGCTTCAAATGACATTCTGTGTGCATTTATGATCTAAAATCACAGAGGAGAAGATACTATGGAGGTTAATATAGTAGCCACAATAAAGAAAACGTGAATGCTGTGAAATTAAAAAGAAGCACCTGCTGGAAAAGGGACTGAGCACCAGATAAAAGGAACTTGGTTATTGAAACATCTCTAGAACCATGCCAGAGATGGCGTGATGATGATCTAAGTTTCAGGCTGTGCATGGAGTAATCTCTAACAGCAAATGCACCTTGCCTGTACTCACAAAATGAATTACAAACTAAACAGGAAAGTATAACAGTAAATGTAGCAACGCAAAATTTAGACATGCATAGAAAATTGTGAAATAATGTGTGTGTGGAACAAGAACCTCAAATAACTAGTCCTAATACACTGGCCTCATATGGAGAAATAATGTGATTTGAGTGTTCATTTAAGCTCACGATTTCAATTTAGGCAATACACTCTCAATAATGTCACGAAAACTGATATTAATCATGTTTAACCAAGGTGCAACTTTAAATCATTAATCCCAAGGTACGGTCATCATGAGGAAAAATAATGTGCTTTAAGTGTTTATTGGCTCACGATTTCAGTAAAGTAGTCAATACACATGCAATCATGTCAAGTGATATATGATGAACTATATATGGCCAAGTTTTGTGGGAACGAAAACTCCTATAAATCGTTAATCCCAAGTCAATGGTATCATGTGAAGAGATGTACTTTAAGTGTTCATTATTGAAATGAAGTAGGCAATTCATTATCAATGACGTCAGGAAACTGCAACTGCTAGTAATCAAGTTTGACCAAGGTGGAACTTTTTTGGCAAGGAAAACTGCTTGAAAGCATCTTTAAAAATTAGTCATTGGTTTGACTTGATTTATTGAATGTAACTTGTCTGTGACTCTTCTTATAAAGTATATGCAAAAATTAGCTAGTATTTTATCCACATAGCCTTTTTCAAACTAAAAAATGTTTGAAGCAAATCACATTTTTTGGGCGGATGAAGTAAGCATCAAATTTTCCATCATTTGCAATGGAGCCAAAGATTCACTATTTTTTGGCTTGGGAATATGATGGAATAAAGCAAAATGTCTCACTAAACTGACTGCGCTTCTTTGTTGTGAAGCAGCAATCAGTCCATGTATTTTTCGACGCGATTTTCACTATGGGTCATCCGGAAATATTAGAATAGAAGCAAGGTAGAAGATGGAAATGAAATCATCTTATTGAGATTTGAGAATGAGAGATCACAGAGTATCTATACAAGTCAGTAGTTCAACTAACTAACTGCAAGTGTAACAGAAGCCTAACAGATTATAACTACACTATATTATACAGAAATACACGTGTAGTGTTTATTTAATACTCCTAACAGGAAACAGTCTCAGGAAATGTTTTAGTACAGGGGTAAGATTGCATACATCCGACCCCCCTTACCCCACCATAGGTGGGAGCCTTTGCAGCACTGGGGTAATAATGATGATGATGAAGTAAGCATCAAAACAAAGATATTATGAAATTGTTCCAACTGATGTGGTAGGCAACTACCCAGAAATAAAGACTGCCTTATTCATTATCAAACATGCAAACAAAAATCATCGGGATAGTAACTTACAGAATTTTCTCAATAGCCGTCATTTTCACTGGCATAAAAAGCCTATCAGGTAGAACATCATTTTTAAATCCATCCCAGGAAAGATTCTGATGAAAATGAAGAAGATGTAGAGTGAACTCATGTTGAACTTAAATAAAAAAATTAACCGGTGCTTGCACAATGGAAATTGATGTTTACCTCATTAACAACATGGCAAGGGTTCCACAAAGCAGTATGCCACGCAAACCACATCTCAAGAATGAAACTTGAGATCTTTTTATTAACTGCAGTGAATCAGAAAAACGCTAGAATTATGAAATAAAAGTCAAACAAACGCAGCCCAGAGACAGGGAATCATCATGACTCAAATTGTATAACAGTAAATGGCCATTTTAAAAATTATTAAAACCTGCATGCACGGATGCATGAGCATCTAGTGTCCACAAGATCTTTTGATAACCCAAAAAGTCTGTGGGTGGCCTGGGAGAAAAGTTCATAGAAAAGTTCAAAGTATACTCAATGCAGCCAGCCAATGCAGTTAATTCCTGTCATGATCAGGAAGGTATTATGTTAAAACACATTTTGTTAAGGAAATAATAAGGTATGTTCTATAATTTACTGCATTAGCTCTCCAAGTAACAGAAGCATCTAAACAGCAACAAAATCTTATTTCAAAAGATTATTACATAAAGTTGTTCATCGCCATAGGTAGATTCAATCTGGGAAAGACGCTGAAGTAACATTGTATCAAGAATGAAACCAATATCATCAGCTATGGGCAGTGTCTCTAGCCAGCAATGAATCCCAGATTTGGCAGACAACAATTCAGGAGTGAAAACACAGCAAGTGGATGAATTGGATAGCTGGAGCTCTTGCTGAATTGACCGAGAATTCCCTTCCAATTTTTTCTTTTCAATGTCTAACCTTATAAAGAGAGTCTGTTCAAACAACACAATACATCAATGAACAAAGAATACTCTATCAGAATTAAATTGTAAATTAAAAATTATACAAGCAAACCTGGTATATGTCTTCCAACTGGTTAACAACATTGAGATGCCCTTCATCAGTTTTTTCCATTACATATGATGACATGCAAACACCTTGAAAAAATAGTCTTTAGATTAAACCTTAGTTGGAAAATATGACACTGTAAAGGCAATCAATGAATTGAAACACAACCCAGCAATCCAGCAAACTTCAATCACATAAAATGCATTGACCATTAACCTGCTGATTTAGTAGTTTTGGGTAAAAAAAATGAATGATTTAGAAAGAAGTCTTGGTCTCACAGGTTCTGTGTCAGCTAAAACTGGGAGTGGTGGTTTGGTAAAAGGTTCTAGATTCCCAGTCTTTGTCTCAAAGGTTCAGTGTGTTTTTCCCAATTTCTAACTTGCTATTTTTTATTTGAAAAAGAATACCCTTCACATTACATTGAACTTCATATTCTTCAACTTCTTTATTATTATTATTATTATCATTATTGTTGTTGGTAGTCGTGGGGATGATGTTGTAGTTATCTGGATCCTAACACTTTAGCTTTTGTATGTGTCTTCACTCTTCACCTCTCCAGAGTTTAAAATTGATCTTCAGAATTTATTCCATTCTTCATTCTCTGGCTATATAAGAAAGCCAGTGTTTCCTTGGTTAAGATCAGTCAAGTGTTGTGGATAAATATTTTTTTTCTAAAGATGGTGTAGGAGTCACATCTATGTCACCTGAAGCTAAAAGAAATCATCACCCAAGTGAATTCTAGTTATTCAGTATGACAATCACCATGTTATGTACCAAAAATCTTCATCACATGGTGAATTTTAGTGAATTTTCCGTCTCCTTTGGAGTTTGGGGAGTTTTCCTTCTCCTTGGTTTCTTCTTATTTCTTTCTTAGATATTTTATCAGTATAACAAAGCTCTCATCTTCTAAAAGAAGGAATGGGAAATCATGGCATATCACTTCCTAAATAAAGGTATTAAAGTCAAATCGGAATAAAAGCAATCAGTTATCACTCATTCTTCTGCTTGATTTGCGCTTTTTTATTTCCATAATATTGTGTAGTAGCATGCATCACATTGATGAAGACGTAACTACGGGCGTAAGGCCTAATACTAATAATAATAATAATAACATTAAGTACTTTGATAAGGTGTATAAGAGGAGAAAGTAAGGTGGGGAATCCAGGATTCATCAATACGAGTGGAAGATCTGGACAGAGACTTTCCCAAACTGAATAAGAAGAAAGAAGCAAAAAGGGACTTTGCCTAAAATGTGGGGACAAGTGGAACAAAGAGCACATATGCGAATTGAAACACTATCAATTTGTGCTTGTTGATCCACCTGAAGGAGAGGATGAGTCTGCCAGTCCAGGGGAAGAACAACCTGAGGAGGAGAAAAGCTTTAAACATTGAAACTGTCTGTGATGAGCAAGGAAGGGATAACTACTCAGAGAAAATTCAAGGTGGGAGGGAATATTCAAGATAGAGAGGAGGCCAGATCAGTGGTAATTTTAATTGATAGTGAGGCCACTCACAATTTCATATCCCAGAGCTTAATAAATGAATTGGCCTTACCTTTTAATCAGATTGGAGGGTTTCAGGTAGAATTGGGAAATGGAGTGAAAATAAGGAATAATGGTATATGTGCAGGATTGCAACTGATGGTGCAGGGTTATTTGATAACCCAACATTCCTATATCCTTGATCTAGGAGGAACAGGTGTAGTTTTGGGGTTGGAATGGTTGACTTTGCTGGGAGATGTTCAATTTAACTTCCAGAAACTTACTTTGAGGTGGAAGGAAGAAGGGCAAGATAGAAGACTAACAGGGAATCCTACTTTGGGCCAGTCTCCAGTATCTTGGAAATTTCTGGTCAAAACAATACAACAGGAAGGACAAGGCTATTATCTCACTTGTGATCTGCAAACTTTGGAAGTTATAGGGAATCAAGAGCAGGAGAATCTATTGACAGCAATGGTAGAAGAATATGCTGAACTGTTCCAGATTCCTCAAGGTCTACCTGACAAGAGGGATTGTGACCACTCTATCAACATCAAGGAAGGAGCAACAATCCCCAATATCAGACCTTACAGGTACCCCCACTACCAAAAGAATGAAATTGAAGTTATAGTCAAGGAGTTACTGAGTTCAGGAATAATCCAACCCAGCACCAGTCCATATAGCAGCCTAGTTTTGCTGGTCAGAAAAAAAGGAGGCTGGAGATTTTGTGGTGACTACCGAGCCTTAAATAAAATCACAGTTCAGGATGAATTCCTGATCCATGTAATAGAAGAATTATTGGATGAATTAGGTACTGCCAAGGTGTTTTCTAAGTTGGTTCTGAAGTCGGGGTATCATCAGATTCGGATGAAGGATTCTCATGTGCATAAGACAGCTTTTGAACTCACAAATGCACCATCAACATTCCAGGCCCTCATGAATTAGGTACTTAAGAAAGTTTGTTTTCGTGTTCTTCGATGATATCCTTATTTACAGTCCTTCCATGGAAGAGCATAAAAGACACCTAAGAACAGTTCTACAGAACCTCAAGGAAAACCATTTGTATGTCAACAAGAAGAAGTGCAGCTTTGGGCGATCTGAACTATCTTATTTGGGGCATATAATCTCAGGAGGAGTGGCAGCAGATCCTTCCAAAATTGCAGACATGTTAAATTGGGTTGTATCTCTGGATGTCAAGGGACTCAGGGGATTCCTAGGGCTGACAGGATACTATCGGAAATTTGTAAAGGGGTACAGTAAAATTGCAGCACCCCTTATCAGCTCCTTAGGGAAGAAGCATTCACATGGGACCAGAAAGCTTCAGAGGCCTTTGAAGTACTAACGAGGACAATGACTACTCTGCCTGTATTAAGAGTTCCTGATTTCAATAAAACGTTTGTAGTAGAGACAGATAAATTGGGTAAAGGAGTAGGGGCAGCATTAATGCAGGAGGGCAGACCCATTGCTTAATTGAGTAGAGGATTGTCCTCTAGAAATCAGAGCAAGTCGGTTTACGAACGGGAGTTAAAGGCCATAGTTCTGGCAGTTCAGATATGGAGACCTTACTTGCTTGGAAAAGTATTTGAGATACATTCAGACTAGAAGAGCCTAAGATTTTTAGCTGAGCGAAGGTTGAGGGTGAAGAACAACAGAAATGAGTTACCAAATTGATGAGATGTAACTTTGTAATCAAGTATAAGCCGGCCAAAGAGAACAAGGCTGCTGATGCCCTCTCAAGGAAGATGTGTCTGGAAACCTTATCCATGATAACATGCCAAGAATGGGATGGCCTAGAATAAGAGCTTATCAAAGATAAAAGGTGTAATACTAATATTCAGCAGATCAGTGGACAACCAGGAACTCAGCCAGATTTCAAATTAATCAAGGGGTTACTGTTTTTTAAGGTAAGGCTGGTGATACCTAAAGGGTCACCCAGAATCCAAGTGATATTGAAGGAGTTTCATGATTCTAGCACTGGTGGACATGCATGTTATTTCAGGACTATAAACAGAATAGCTAATCTATTTTATTGGTATGGAATGAGGGCAGAAATTCAAGCTTATGTCCAGGGTTGGGAAACCTGCCAAAGGAATAAATATCAAGCCTTGAAGCCAGTTGGCCTTCTGCAACCTCTACCAGTTCCCAGTCAGATTTGGTCAGATTTGAGTATGGGCTTCATTGGAGGTTTACCTAGAGCATATGGAGTGCTGGTGGTGGTGGAAAGGCTAACTAAATTTGCACATTTTATTGCTTTGGGCCATCCTTAATCTTTATACTGCAAAGGAGGTGGCTGAAATATTTGTGCAAGGAGATAGTTAGACTTCATGGATTCCCTAACACTACTGTTTCAGACAGAGAGACTGTCTTTATGAGTTCCTTTTGGTCTGAGCTTTTCAAGATGGATGGTACTAAACTTAAGTACAATATAGATGGTCAAACGGAGGTTGTGAATAGATGCATTGAAACCTACCTAAGATGTACCACAGGGAATAAGCCTAAACAGTGGCTGAAAAGGATACCATAGGCAGAGTTATGGTACAATAGAAACTAGCATATTTCCATCAAGAACCTCCAGCCATTATTCGATGGGATGTCACTGTAACAGCCGATGAAAAAGTATCAAGACTTGCTGCTGAAGGAAACATAATGTTGGAAGAGTTAAAGAAGACATTGTCAACAGCTCAGAATAATATGAAGCAACAGGCAGATGGAAAAATAAGGGATGTGCCACTGGAGTTGGGGGATAAAGTCTATTTAAAGATTCAACCATACAAATTGAAAAGCTTGGCAGAAAGGGTGAACCAGAAACCAAGTCCAAGATTCTACGGACCCTTTGAGGTGATTGAGAAAATCAATCCTGTTGCTTTCAAACTGAAGTTACCAGAAGATTGTGCAGTACACCCAGTCTTTCACATTTCATTGCTGAAGAAGTCAGTAGCACCTAACATTCCCTGTCAACCATTACCTAAATGCTTTTCTGAGGAATGGGAGCTACAGGCCACCCCTGAGAAGGTGTTGGGAATTAGGCTGAATGCAGCTGGAGAGAAAGAGCCATTGGTGCACTGGAAGGAACTGCCTGATTTTGAGGACTCCTGGGAACCTGTGAGCAGATTGCAGACACTGTTTCCCATTTGTCACCTTGAAGACAAGGTGAATCTTCAAGGGAGAGTGATGATGAAGACTAAACTACGGGCCTGATGACGATGACGATGACGATGACGATGACGATGACGATGACGATGACGATGACGATGACGATGACGATGACGATGACGATGACGATGACGATGACGATGACGATGACGATGACGATGACGATGACGATGACGATGACAATGACAATGACAATAACAATAACAATAACAATAACAATAACAATAACAATAACAATAACAATAACAATAATAATAATAATAATAATAATAACATTAAGTACTTTGATAAGGTGTATAAGAGGAGAATGGTGGAGCAGTCTAAAGGAGGGTGGGAACTATTGTAATGGCTGGGCCATTTTTTTTACCATTTTTTTTACTCCAGGGGGCGTCTGGGGGAGGGGGGCTAGGAGGGCCTGGAGTAATCAGGGCTGAAACTCACTCCATTGAGTTTCAAACCCTTATGTGCCTAGCGGGTTTCGAACTCGAGATCTCTCACTAGGCACGGTAACCTCACAACCAATTGGGCTGGAATGCTTAGTAAAGTGGGAGTGAGAGTGATAGGATCATGGGCTGAGGAGACTAATAATAAGAATATTAGAATAATAATAAATAATTGCGATAGTGTATTAGAGGGTCCTGGGCCTGGTATTAATTAGCTTTGGGCTGGCCCATAAGGAAAAGAATATAAATAGGAGCTGGGATTAGAATAAGGGCAGGCAGAAATTAGTTCAGTCAGGGACTTGGGAGTGCGGAAGACTACTCGAAGTGTCTTCATTGTATCTTTCTCTTTTCAGTTTTAATCAATTTCCATCTTAATCTACGGCAATTTACCTTCAAATTCGTGAGTACCTATCAATGGTATCAGAGGAATCGCTCCTGGAGTCAGAATCGATCATCTCAGAGCTTCAGCGTGCGAAAATAATGGAGACATTCTGTATATCACCGCAGATGGAGAAGAGTGTGGACAATGTTGAAAGTCAATTGAAGGAGATGAGAACGAGTCGATGGACTGGATGTGCGATAGGTGGCTTCAACTTAGTCGCAGGCAATCTCAAGGTCGATCGAGGACAGTCGGGAGCCGTCGACCATCGGAAAGTAAGGGTTCAGCATCATCATTCGTCGCTCTTCCAGGTTGGTTCGCAGTCGCGAACGACTTCTCCCGGTTCGTCGCGAACTGTTTCTCCTCTCCTATCGTCATCGCAAGTCGTTTCTCTCAGTTCATAGACTTTGTCGCAAACAGAAGTCTCCAGTTCGCAGTCACAAACGGCTCTTCCTAGTTCACCATCGCAAACAGTATCGCCCATAGCTACTCTCAGTTTGCAGGTTCCTTCCTCAGCTATCAGTTCACGTGCAAGTACGACGCAATCAAGCGGTGTTTCAGATGATTGCCCTTCCACTGAAAGAGATAGAACTTTATTATCAATCGATATTGATTCTGCCAGTATGAATCCAAGCCTATTAGGTAAGGATTTTAAAAGGGGAAGAGTATGTGGGGTAGCAAAAGCCATTACACTTAGTGGACAGGTTTCCTTTGAAGATGAACTCACTGCATCTATTGGACTTGACATTATGCATAAACCGGCTATAGCTTTCTGGAATGTTACTGGAATTGGTGAAGGTTGTTTGGGAGGCAAATGGCAGGTTCAATGCTGAAGCAAGGCATGCAGCTCTTGCATTCTCTACAACATTATTTGGTTCTGCTGGTGATGCTCCAGCCTGTAGAGACTTGGTTAGTGGTCCTGGTGCACTCTTACCATTGCTAGGACAGTTGAATGAGCCTGAAAAGCTTTCTATGTTGAGAAACACTACATGGACTTTGTTAAACTGCTGTCAAGACCAGCCACCAACACCACTTGACATGGTCAAAGCTGCATTGTGAGTTCTTCAGCAACTAATCCATATGATGGAGGAAGTGATGATGAAAGTGAAAGAAGTGAAGCTCCTAGATCAGAAATCAAGGAGGTATTGGGAAGGAAGAGGCCAAGATGAAGATCAAGCGGAAGGTCAAGGCTGTTTCAAATCACCCACCTTGAGGACAAGGTGGTTGTCCAAGGGGGGAGATATGATAGGATCATGGGCTGAGGAGACTAATAATAACAATATTAGAATAATAATAAATAATTGTGATAGTGTATTAGAGGGTCCTGGGCCTGGTATTAGTTAGCTTTGGGCTGGCCCATAAGAAAAAGAATATAAATAGGAGCTGGGATTAGAACAAGGGCAGGCAGAAATTAGTTCAGTCAGGGACTTGTGAGTTCGGAAGACTACTCGAAGTGTCTTCATTGTATCTTTCTCTTTTCAGTTTTAATCAACTTCCATCTTAATCTACTGCAATTTACTTTCAAATTCGTGAGTACCTATCAGAGAGAGAGGTTAGGCAGAATTTGGGATGTTAGTTGGAGGGAACGGGCACTCTCTAACATGTCCTAACTGTATCTCTTTCATCTATTATGTACCATTAATACATTCTGAAAATCTGCTTATCTTCAGATTTCTGCTTTTCAGCACATATATGTTCTGTCGATCATTGATACCTATCACACACCACTCATCAACCTTTTTCAAATTGCGGTCCTGCGACTTGGTGGTGACAAACTTCAGGCTTCGGGAAGAATCTAGAATATCGGATCACCTGGACAACTATTTCCGATCATCACCACCATCCTTATGAGCCTCCAGTTGCGGCAGCTTTGACTCTGCCAAACCAGCACCTGTGTGCTTCTCAGGAAGAGTTTTCCACCAAGCTTCTCTAGTCCGATTCTGAGTTCCCTATGTGACTTTTAAATTTTCTAGCAACAGTGGACATTAAAGAAGTTTCTGATGACACTATCACTACTTGTTATTATCACCACCATCCTTATGCGCCTCCAGCTGCGGCAGCGCGGAAAGATTTTTATTCCAAACTTCTCTAGTCCGATTCTGAGTTCCCTATGTGACTTTTAGAATTTTCTAGCAACAAGGGACATTAAAGAAGTTTCTGATAACACTATCCCTACTTGTTATCCTATAAAAAACATACCTTCAACTGTTTTGCAAGGAAAGATTCCTTGAAATATCATGTTCCCTAATGTATTATAACATCTTGTTTCGCCATGATAGTATGATACCCAACATAATAACAAAAAGAAATCACCACACCATCCACCGGAGGTACCGTAGAGCAAAGAAGAGATCCTCATATGAAGGTTTTCTGTGTACCGTTACCACCTAGTGAACCGGTCCAGGACAATGCCACCTTTTTTCATCCTCGAGGTTAGGAGAGTAAATATATAATACTCCCTCTGTCCCCCTAACTTTGTCCCGTTTTACCTTTTGAGTGGTTAGAATTCATTCTTACTTTATTCACACTTTATCAATTCAATACCAACCACACAACTCTGCTTTTTCTTAAAAACCACATCACACCCCTTTGTCCCAAACTTAGGGGGACGGAGGTAGTATCTCCTAACTTCTTAAATATTTTATTTGGTCGTGAAACCCTACACAATATCAACAACGAAGTCAACGTTAAATATTCCATTGGGGGGCTCTATAGTAAAGAAGACATCCTCAGGAGAGTGACCATGTACCATTGCCACCTAGTGAACCAGCCCAGGACACTTCCACCTTAGTTAATTCTCAAGGGGAGGATACTTGGAGGGTGAACATCATGTACCATTGCCACCTTGTAACTGGTCCAGGACAATCCTGCCTTGTGAACCAATAGCATGTGAAGTTCATACTACAACCAAAGACTTCAAAAAGAAGTCTTGTCATGATGCAAGACCAAGGACATTTTATCAACTGGCAATCATATTCTTTTACTCAATGAAACAGGAGTGACATTTTGCGAAGGGGGAATGAGTACCCAGTCTACAGTACAAGTGAAGGCGTAACCAAGAATGAGGTAGACAACAATCAAAATAAAAGATTGATGGAGAGACAAATCTAGTTGTCAGGCGCTACACTAGAGTAGTGACCATGCATTCAGAGGGACGGGTTCCATCAACATGATGCCGATTCACACTTTTAAGATATCCCAAAGGAACACCAGGAAAGGAACCAAATTGAAAAGTAATGTTAAGATTCATGTCCTGTGAGGGTATGACTACCCAGTCTACAATATATTGAGGGTAGTTGTCACAACAAACCAATAGTGTATATGCATGTCTTACATTGCAACTATATACAAAAGGGAAAATGGAAACTAATAATCCAACCTTTTAGTGATATTCTTATAATAGTCTCACCTTTTGATTATTCATGAATAATCCAACCTTTACACCTCATCTTCATTCACTGGTCCCTGACCGATTTATGACATGTTATTTCAAGTTATTTTCTTATCTTTGTAAAACATTATACCATAATTCCCGCCTTATGATCACATAATGTTTTGCAAAGATTAGAAAATAACTTGGAATAACAGATCATAAATCGGTCAGGGACTAGTGAATGAAGATGGGGTGCAAAGGTTGGATTATTCATGAATAATCAAAAGGTGGGACTATTGTAACAAGACCGCTAAAAGGTTGGATTAATAGTTTCCATTTTCCCTATACAAAATGACTTTATGAAGTATGATTTTATGCTTAGTCGCTAGTCAGCAGGCTTGTCATGAAAAGTATTTCAATGCCAGCTTTGTGAGAAAAATCAATGATCTATATGTCAGTGTATATGAGAGAAACTTATGTGTTAGAATTGTTTAAGAAATATGGTGTTTTTTCTAGCATTAACATCATATAAATATGATATGATATGAACCTTGGATAGAAAAACATTGTACTTTGTAGGACCCCATCAATATAATGAAAATTATCAAGGCATTACATCATATTCTTATCATGCCAATTGGAAGTACTAAAAAAGTAATTCTGATGGTGCGATGAACGAGACTGTCCAAAACACATTAGTCAACAGGTTTGACAAAAAAGAAAAAATTACCTTGCATAGCGAGCAAACGAAGTTCTGGATTTGAAGATAGCGCAGCTTCAGTTGGCACATTGTTTCCATCTAAATAAACAATTTTATTAGAAAAGTAACTAAAAGAAAGGAGTGCAAGAAATAATATATAAACGTTTCAAATGGATGCATACCCCGCTCAAAAGCCTTTCTCTTTCGTGGCCATACTAGATCACAAAGCTTGAGTAGTTTACATCTCTTTTCAAACAACTCAGCAGTAGAGGGTTGAAATGGATGCCCACCATGATCCCACAGCAAAGGCTTTTGCAAAGGCGCAGACCAGTATGGGCCTTTATCCATCCTCCACATCTCACTCTTCAAAAATAATAGAATGTTGGAGATTATGTTTTATAAAAAGAAAGAAAACAATGCAACAGCTACAAAAGGAACTACATTTATCTAACAAAAAAACCTTCACATTTTTTACTAGTTCCGGGAAAAAATCCTCCAGCGAGAATATGTTTATAAAAAGAAAGTAAACAAAGCGATAGCTACAAAAGGAACTACATTTATCAAACAAAAATACCTTCACACTTTTTACTTGTTCCGGGAAAAAATCCTCCAGCTTTGCCAAGACCTTCATTAAAGAATGCCAGGAAATAAGCATGACATTATCAGTGGACTCGATAGCAGATGAAACATAACTGTTCCAAAACAGAATGTGATGTTCAAGAAGATCATTGTATAAAGGCCAAAGCGCTTCAGTGCTGGGTGGTTTCAAAAACATATCAGGTGACTTCCCAAAAAATTGAAGAACATTATCTTCCAAGTGCTGCAAAGATCTAAAAAAGGGTTCAAGGTCGGTATTTGAACTGTGATTGTATCCTGCCTCACAGCTCCACTGATGATAGCTTAGCCTCAGTAAGTTCACACTACTAATAGCGGTTTTGAGTTTTTCACAATGAGAAATATTTACATATTCTGGCCCATATATATCAGTAAATTCCTCTGATAGGAGGCGCATTACATTCAGGTTTACTGCAACTGAATTTTGAGATGTGATCTCATGGTGGAACTTGAAGATCAGTTTCCATATAGGGTGTTCTAGTTCCTTTTGCAACAAGTCAACAAATCGACGAAAGAAACCATCAGGTTTCGGTAGTAGAGAAGCAAGATAGCTGAAATATACAAGGTAAAGTTTGTAATCACTTTCAGTTGCCTGCTCAAACACCCAGTTAGCAGCATATAGAAGCATTTTCTCAAAGTCACTTGGATTAAAATCATTCCTATAACAATAGTAATTATCTAGATTATCTGATTCTGCGGGACACATAAATGCATGTAAGCTCCTAATATCAAAAAAATAGCATTGGGCAGAGGTAGAAGCAGGAAGAGTTTGCTGCAGACTTGAAACAGAACTAAGCATGTTGCGAGCATACTGAGACCCTAGAAACTCCAAATACATGCAATTTTGTTTCACACTTGACTCCTCGGGATAAAAAATAAAATCCCTCATCTTCAAGGGGGTTGGCCATCCACCGGGCCAGCATAACAGGCTATCTTCTGATGAATGGATTTTTTTTAATTCTGACTCTGATAAATGAGATTTTCGAGCACTATCAACTATCTGTCTTCCCACGCCTTCACCTAAAGAAGAAACGTATATATGCTCCCAACTTATTTGGAGGCTCCAAGACAATTCATTGCCCTGCGTAAGTAGCTCTTGAAACAACCCCGCCCATCGTGAGAGTTCAAGAAGTGTGATTTGCAGGTTATACCGTGCACATTCATTCTTGGCATAGATGTGTGTGCACGCCATTATATCATGTAATTTACCGACAGGGATACCAGCAAGGACAAGAAATCTCCTTGCATCTTCACGCTCAGTCACTTCAACTGGCTCCGTACATCCTCTATCAAGCAACCAATTAGGTTCCATCATATAAACTTCAATACCTCTATTTCGCATTGCGCGTGATACCTCACCATACGCAGGGTTGACAGTCAGAAACATACGAAACCTCGGATGAGGATGAAGAATGACTGGTTTTCCATCAACAGTACCACATTCATTAATAGTGATAGAGCCAGACAACTCAACCAAGGAGTTGATCCTATCAAGAACCTGCAAAGTGGAATTTTATGATTTACGATTTGCAAATACTGTGGACAAATGTTAGGACCAATATTATTAACAAGAAACTAATATGGAATAAATTAAAAAACCGGACATACTGTTGGGTTGCACAGATTTGCATTCTTCAGAACTATCCACTCCCCATTTTCTATAGCTTTTATGAGAACTCCAGGTACCCACTCAAATTTTGTTGCACATCTCCTTTTCAAGTGGTCATAGCATTTTCTTATTGTAGTGAGAATGACATCCAGATCTCTCATTGACCATGACAAAGGCAATGAACATGAAACAAGATCAGACTTAAGATGTTCAATGATGTTAATCAACAAAGGAAAGGAATCGGCGTATTTTGTTGAAGCCACAGCATTGATGGTTGATATGAAGGCAAACCACAAAACACTAAGATCATCTCTTATCTTGGATGCCTCACTCAATGACTCTAACTCCATGGAGCAATACTCATGCACATAATTCTGAACTTGAGAAATGGCAAGACGATATTTTCTGATGGCATTGTATTGCTCAAAGCTTCCAAGCAGCTCAGATATATCAGTAGTAGATGAAAGGTTTAGCTCATTAATTATATTGCCAGTAAGCTGCGCAAGAATCCTTATTAAGGAAGTTTTACCAGACGACTGGGGGCCAACCAATATGCATAGCCACTGTTGCTTCACACAATCAGCCACAGCTTCCAGGCTATTGCGCAGCTGAGGTAAAACTTTAACCTCACGATGTGATAACTGATGGTGAACTCTCTGGAGAGAGACACTACCCACGGTCAAGCACCGTGAATTGAGTTGCACCCTTGGGTATGGGTTTATAGAAGGCTTCATTCGAAATACTGAATGAAATAGCTTCATGACTTCTTGTCGATCAGATGGTGTCCGCATTCTTTGCAAATAAACAGTATTCAAAAAGCAATCAGACTTTGCTTTTCCGCATTCACCTGAAGATAGTTTCATACTTAAGAAGGCTTACCAAATGTTAATTATACAACACAGGAAACTGAATAGCAAAATCTGAACACACAAAAAACCTTGTATTATTTCGCAGGATCGAAGCACATCTCGCAGGTTGAACTCCCAAGGGGAACCTTCATGACCAAATTTGTGTAACAACATCGTGTCTTCATGCAACCTTTTATTAAATAAGACAAGATTTGAAAGTACGGAATTTGGTATTGAAGGATATTCTGAAGTGCAGATGGCAAGATAATCATCTTCAACCAGTTCATCCACATAAACCTGAGGCCCACCGTGAAGCGAAACATTAATGATACTTGACAGCTGAGTAAAGCCAACAATTCATGTCCCTACATACTAACATGTTAAAGTTAGTAATCCCTACATGCATACCTTTGTGAACCGGTTAAGAAAAGACTTAGGCATGCTTTTCCGTCCTCCACCCTGAGATGATGGGTTTTGACAAGCAAATACTCTGAAGGAGGATGGGCACTTAAAGGTAAGACCCAACTCTGGGATGAAGACCTCCGCTCGGTGATCCAAAATAGCATTCAGTCCCTGCATTTTATGTAACCATAATTAGCGTCTAGAAATTTTCTGGAAGATACATATTACAAAATTGATATCCTTATAAATTTAAGGATGAAAAGTAGAAGAAACGTGCAACTACCTCCAGGACGGATTGTGGGGCAAGATTGAGTTCATCCAGCAGAACCCATGAACCATTTTTCAGTGCCTGAAATAAATACCGCACAGAAAAATTGTATTTGGATAATCATAGACAAACACCATCAACCATAAAACTTATTTCAATACCTGTAAAAGGATTCCATCAGACCATGCAAAGTGCATCCCTTCTTCACTTTCCACGGGCAAATCTGACCCCAATAAATCCATTATGTCCGTCTGTGCCAATTGAACCAAGTGAAACACAGTAATAACTAATAACCCAAAGAGAAAGGAAAGATTGCAGACGAAGAGTTTGGATTCTTGACCTGCTCTGATAAGTTTATTCTTACAACAGTGTGGCCAGAAGACTTGCCAAGAGCTACAACTAAACTGGTTTTGCCAACACCTGGGCTACCTTCCAGCAAAACTAGAGGAAGAAAACTCACAAATTAGAGGACATATATCATTTCATTCGTTTCTTATTTTAACTCAATGAATCTTATATAAGGTGATACACAGAGAGTATCGAAGCAAATTGATTTTCATCTGAATTTGAGATGCACACCAGGCTTCGGAAGTTGCATAGCACGTAGCACCCGCAACACATTTCTTCGGGTTGTTGGTGCATGGAAGTCGAACTTTGCATCATCACTGTGATCATCACCTAAGAGAGAAGCAGGGTGAAAGAAAGTCCGCAAAACTGGTGTAATCATTTGAACACTTAATAATGGAGAACATAATTAAATGAGTATGAGACTACGAGTGCTAAGGTTTATTAAAAAAAGGTGCTAGGCGGGGGATATGGGCAGAAAAAGACATATATTATCATGATTATTATTATTATCATTATTACTATTACTATGATTTTACTACTACTATTGTTGTTGTTGTTTTTATTATTAATTTCCTAATAGTGTAGGTATTATATTAGTGTCTTATTATTGTTGGTGATAGTTTTATATTAGTGTACGCAGGACCGTCTTTTAACTAGTTAATTAGGTTATCTAGAATGGACCCAAATATTTTGAGGTTCCAGAATTGTGTTGTTCATTAATAGCCATTGAAAAAATACTAAAATAAAACTAAGAACATAGTGATGACGATACGGTAAAAGAAACTCCCAAAAATAACATCGCGTGAACAACTCAACAAGAAAAGGCAAAAGAAGCGTCTAGGGCCCTTTCTCAAGTTCATATTATGAAGCTAAGTTTTTACCTATTACCTTTTGGTTTTCCCTATTAATGATGATCTGTAAGTCTGTAACATCACATCACTAAAACCAAATTCAAAAGAAATCATACCTCTCTCAATATAGAATGGATGAATACCAAAGAGACTATCACATTGCATTTCATCATTGCATACATCAGGCTCAACAGCAGAGTCAGCCCAACCATAATTCTCTAGTCTGGCGAGACTTGTGCTACCAAAACTAGAGTTCATATCCTATAGCAAGATACAGCAAACACAACTTACTAATAAAGTAAGCAAAAAGGTCTGTGCTGATTTATAACAGTGTAGAACCCCAGTTAAACTTATCCAGTTATCCTCCCCCCACGGCCCCACCCCATCTCTATGAATTCGGAAGTGTTTTCACTTGTACAAAGTTGCATAACATTCCAAATGTTTTTTATTCCCACATAAAAATACCAAAAATTGGTAGGCTAAGAGTTGTGGATATCTTACCAAGTTTTATATAAAGTTATGTGTGTGTGTATATGGTCAACTGAGAGAAGGCTTATTGTGAGAAATGAGGATAAATCTGGTGCAATGGAATTGAGATCTAATGGCTCTAAAAGTGCCAAAATCCTCATTTCTTGTAAACATTCTTCTCACTAGAAGTGCACCCTATATATATAGCAATAAAGATACAGTATAGAATAACACCTTCAACAACTCTAGAAGATATAAGAAACACTCTTCCCTCAATCTGCAGGCCTCATTCTTGGAGATATTAGTGCCTGGAAAAAATAGGTAATAAAAATGATGCAAATAAAGAAGAGCTCTAAATTCTAATTAACAGGTTGATGTTGTAAAGGGACAAAAGATGCACTGTGTTTCTATTTTATACACGTGTTTCACAGCCTGCTACTAAATATTGCCATTTTTAGATTATTTATGGCAAGGAAAGGCCATGCTTCTGAAGACTGGGCTCATTTGGATGAATAAAACAATATTTTCCCTAGGCAGAGATGCAAAACAGAAACATCACTTCAGCAAGAGGCATCATAGTGTCATGGTGATACTACCACATGGCTGATGCAGCAAAAGAGTTTTTACAAAAACAATTTAAAGACTAACCTAAACTCAGACCATCAAGCAAAATAAGGAAAGCCCCATGTAGGAAAGCAGATTCTGGTTGTAAATTTGCTCCAGTTGCATTAATAAAAGATGCCCAAGATATGAAATCTCTCACTGTAAGCATTCTTCCTGTTTGCAAATTATTGAACCACTGCATGGAAGAAATGGGAATCATGGTTACACTTTGAACATATTATGTTACGTAGTACAAAAGATTGAACAATGATAAAGGGAGACAGATACAGAAAGAGTGTGACTAAGAAATACACACACTCTTTCTTTTGGCCTGGTGCCTTGTTGTTTTGCGCAAAGAAAAATTGCTAAAAATATCTAAATAAATGAAAGCTGGACTACCGTAAATTATCATACTACCCCATTTGTCCTACTCTATCCCCGCTGCCTAATTGTCAAACCAGCAAGAGATTACTGCATACCTCCCAAAATTTTAACATGAGATCCATGAAGCTGCCAAGCTGTGGATTTGGAATTCTGAAAAAGGGTCACATGTCATGCAAGTCTTGTAAATAAAACTTCTTGGGAAAACAATAATTGAGACACACACCTCTTAAGAGCAATAAGTTTAAGCTCATCCAAGCCACTAACAGGAGGTACCCATATCTCAGTAAACCTATTGCGAAGGGCAGGAGATAGTTCTTTCTTGCCAAAATCGCCACCGGGATTCATCGTTGCTAAAAGGCAAAAATCAGAATGGGCAGTTATCTTCTCAAGATCAGATCCTCCTTTCTCAGCTAAAGCCTGTAGACGCAATAATCAAAAGGCAACGCTGAACTTCTATAACAATACAAACTGGGGAAAACCAAAAAAGAGTACTCACAAATTTAGCTACAATCCAACATATTACTAAAATGAGTACAGTAGGAAATTGGATCCAGAAATTGAACATCATAGAGAGCTACAGTGTCATTACTATATGATAAAATTTGTAGTACAGGAAAAGGTAAAAAACATATGCCGGATGTAACCATTTAGAAATATTACTAGCAAGAATGTGAAAGGATATAATCAAGGAAGAAACAACCAACCAGCTTCCTTTCTGGCTCCAACACACTATTTAATCGCTCAAGCACACTATCATCAGCCAAAGAAATTTCATCTACCAGAAATAGATCCCCATTTTTCATTGCTTCAACAAGAGGTCCATCTTTCCACCTAAAGATTGTCTCCCACTGATGATACAGATCAACTAATCGAAGATTCAAATTGTTGAGACAATCAAGCTCTTCCACTGTCACATCAGGATGCGAGACCAATCCAAGTCTATAACTACTAATAATCCTAGATACTTTATCTAGAATCGTAGAAGCTTGATTAATATCGGAAGAAATTTTCTGCAGGAGATGAAAAAGTGAATTACGGCATGAAGAAAGGAAAAGGATATTCTATTACAAACAGCATAAAAATGGAAATATACTGAATCCCCAGGAAAGTGGGCAAAAGACTTGGAAACAATCAATTTCACGCATATATCTTTGAAGTCATTGGCAATCCTTGATCTTTCTCTTACTGGATAGAAACCCTGTTGCAGAACAACAAAAAACCACCCCATGAAAATCGATATGCACATCTTTTTAACAGACCATGTAGGACCAAAAAATATTTAGCTGAAGTATGCAAAAAAAACATGAACAAGAAAACAGCGGACCCCAAGAAAATCAGAAGTCTCTGTAAACTGATGGCAGTTCAATATGTGTAATTTGGATCCCAAGATGATGCTGAGAAATTGACAAATTGTTGTCTTCCCTCCACCAGTTTCACCAACAAGGAGGACAGGTTCACGCATCTTATAACAACGTTCCACAAGAAAGTACAATCTCTCCATACTTTTAGTCAGAACAATGCTGCATAGAGAAGAAAAGTAAAAAATAAGAAACAGCTAACCAAATTACAATACTTCGTATATTCTAGTTCAGTTTAGGTGCATACTCCCCAAAATTTTCTAACACTGTCGGATTCTTGCCAACCTCAAAGCTTCCTCCACTTCCTCCTTCCTGACAACAAAACAATAATCAGCTCTAACAAAATCGAATTTCTATTTTCTGGCCCATAATGCTCATCTCCCGGACTTTACATTGTGATCTAAAAACAATTGAATAGAACAAAAAGTACCACAATGGTAATGGCTACAGAAACACCTCCAATAGAACATAATTAAAGCATCTAACAGCCATAAGGCGAATGTTATAAAAATGAATGGGTAAGACTTAAGAGAAGTCGGGAGACTTCGCAGCACCAGGAAAATTGTGAAGAGATATGAAAACAATCTATTTTGTAATAACTAAAAGAAATAGTCACTACCAGAACATAGGAAGCATAGAAGAGGCATTGATATGATAATATCATATCTCTTAAACTTCATAAAGGAGCAACCATAAAAACAACATTTAAGCCTTGGTCCCAAAAGAGTTTGGGGTTGGCTAACATGAACCAACATATGAATCGAAGCTATAAAAGATAAGATACAATTTTAAAATGATAAAAAGATAAAAAAAGATTAGATAAAGATATAGAAAAGATAAAGACAACCAAAACGTAAAGATAAAAAGAAGACATAAAAAGATAAGATAAAACGATAAAAAGATAAAGAACATAAGATTTATAAAAAAAGAAGATGAAATGAGATCGATCCTCCACACAAATATTCTCTCCCCACTTCACTCTTTCCAAAGTCATACTCTCATCCAACCTAAGAAATACTATATCACTACTGACTCCTCTAATCCATGTTTGTTTGGGTCTTCCTCACCCTCTCCTCACGCCTCTTCTCCCCACGTCTCAACTCGTCTCACACGATCTTCTACGCACATGGTTAAAAAATCGTAATCGAGACTCTCGCATATGATCTTCAATAGATGTTACTCCCACCTTTTTTCTGATTGTCTCATTCCTCAAGCGGTCATAATATATATACAAAAATAGCACAGGGACGATTTAATTCTCAAAATATATAAAATCACTAAAAAATATATGTAAAATCAAGGAAAACAAATACACGATTTTAGGATATGGAGATATAATCTCGGGCTGAGAAAAGAGGGAATGATAGCCTCTACTTTATTTAGTAAGCAATAACAAATGAAGGGGGGAAATTATCTAACCTGCTTGTACATGAAATCCTGAGAAAGTTTGACTCTGAACTTCTTCTCCAAAATTCCGCGAACAATACATCTCTCATTCTCATCTCTTAGCCTCTCAGCCAGCAAATAGTAACCATCATGAGCCAAGTCCTCGTACGATTTCCCAAATTCCTTGAAGCGGTTGGCCCAGCGAAACAGGTCACGTGGAGTTATGAATCCATGTTTCCCTGCAAACACTTTACTGCTCTGCCTATGCAGCTGCAGTTCCTTCATAACATCAACCATTTCTTTAGCATATCTTGGAGGAATTTTACACTTCTTCTCCAAAATAGTTGTCAATTCATCGTCTGGAATTTCATCAACATGGATTTCCACAAAGCGGTTGCGAAATGCTCGGGACAGAATCTTACGACCACCATAAATATTTGGTGGGTTTTGGGTGGCAAAAAGCATAAAATCATCATGTACGCGAAGAGTTTCACGCAATTCAGGTACATAAAGCTCTCTGAAATCATCCAGCAACCTATTTAGTGCTTCAAGAACATCGGAAGGAGCAAGGTTTAGTTCATCCAAAACTACCCAGTGTCCATTCCGCACAGCCCTAACAAGGGCACCTTCATGGAAAACAAGCTTCCCACTAGCATCAGTAATGTAGGAACCCAAATACTCCTGAAGATCGGTATGTTCATGATTGTTAATCCGCACGAATTCATGACCTGTTAATGCAGCAAGATATTGAACAAGACTAGTTTTTCCACTAGAAGTTGGTCCCTGAAGAAGAACAGGATATCTTTTGATAAATATGGCACGCGCCAAGTTCCGCAAATGCTCCCCAACAGTCTTAGTTATGACATAGCTGTCCAATAAACCACCAGCTGTAATATTTTGAGCTTGTCTTTCATCCAAGTAACGTTCATATGGGATTTGCTTAGGTATTTTACCTCCCAATAGATATGAACAAATCAATTGATTCATTAACTTAGCACTAGGTTCATCCAACAATATCAGAAAGAACATACAAAAACCATCGAAAATGGCTTCCTGGCGTTCAAACTTCGATTTTGCCTTTTGGATATAATCAAGAGCACGTCTAAGAGATCTCAGACTATACTGGGGTTTTTGGTTAGCCCCATCCTGCAGCCTTTCATCAGCTTCATTTTTGGCTGCTTTATAAAACTGCACTATTTTGCTAACTATTTCTTTATTTGAATGGTCTTCCTTTATAAAATGATTAACGAACAAAGTTAGGTCATCATCATGCACCACATCATCAACAAAATATTCTGAGAATCTGCTCCTCAGTGAGAAGGACAAGTCTCTTTTTCCAGCATCTGTTGCAGGATTCATGCACGCAAATATGCGAAAGCTTGTACTTCTATCTACATAGGTTATATCACCCTTCTCTGCCAAACAAAGCGAACCGTTCTCTTCTTCAAGTACACCAATAACCCGCTGCAGGGTCTCTGGAGGAGCTAGGTTCACCTCATCAAGTAATATCCAGTCTCCATTCTTTAGAGCAGTAACAAAAGCTCCTTCTACAAATGAAAATATAACTCCAGCGGAATCATTAATTTGAGCACGAGCCTTTTCAAGTTTAATGGTAAAATTTTCCCATTCCTTCTTAACTTTCCTATCCAAGGGCCTCTTTCGTTTCACACCAGACTTAGATTGTTCTTTTTCAATAGTTTCAACACCTTTCTGAAAACCAATCAGCAACTTCTTCCAATTCCTATCTTCCACAAAACAACTTAAACGCTTAAGGAACCCTTCATTGTCCTGAGGCACAAATAAATATATATGTATATTAGTATTAATAATAAGAACAGCAATCCAGGGGTAAGGGGTAAAACCGTAAAAAAGATACCTTCACGGAGAACGTTCTAGCAAAAAGATTCACAAACTCCTTGTATAGTGGAAAGCATACAAACCGTGCATCTATTGGTTTGAACCCACCTAATAAATCAGCAACATCACTTTGTTGACTCAAGTTCTGCACAAAATATAAATCAGTCCAAATATCAAAAGTAACTACATATAGTAAATTCCACTTGTACAATTTTATAGAACATACCAGCACTACAAGTTTTTTACCAAGCTTTGTGGCCAGACTCTGTACAAGAGTGGTTTTACCAGTACCAGTTTCACCCACCAAAAGAACAGGTTCATTATGCTTCACAGAACAAGCTATTCTCTCTAGAATATGCAATGAATTGCGTATTTGAACAAAAGGTCTTTCGTCAAGGCAGAACTGTTTGAGCAAATATATTATAAAGGTTTAGTAGTGATACCAAATAAATTTCCAACAAAGAAATATACTCCCTCCATCCCGAAATTAAGTTCTCACTTTCCTTTTTGGGATGTCCCAAAATTAAGTTCCCACTTCAACTTCTTTCAATATTTGGTAAGTTTTTATTCATTTACCGTTTTACCCTCACATCACTTCATTGAATTGATGTGTGTAACCCCCATTTCATTACTCCCTTTATTATACCCATTCGGGTACTACACTTTTTAATAACCCAAGGGCATTTTTGAAAAGCCAACTTTATTTCCTATTGTACCCAAAAACCCGTGAAGTCAAACTAGAAACTTAATTCGGGACGGAGGGAGTATTAACTTCAAAATAATAAGAATTTCACTCACATTTTTCTGACAGCACTCCAAGGCAACCCGGCCAACATGTAATGTCAGACATTGATTCTTGCCTTGCGAAATTTCTTGAAACATAGGCTTATTTATAGGACATAATGTCTCAACATCAACTGACCACAAGTTAGCTATCCCATTCATTATAGCCAAACGGAACTCAGCAGAAGAAAATGAAGCTGCAAAAATATCCGATGCCTGCAAAATAAATAGTAGGTCATGCACCAACTACGCTGCCTAGAATATCAAAATCTAATGGCAGTTTACAAGATCTCATTTCATGTCAAACCTCTTTAACAATAGTTTCACGAGCATAGATTGAGAAACCATCTTGGAAGGAGAGAAAATCTTGTCCAGCAATTCTCTTGCACCATTTTAAGAGATCTCTGCAATTAGAGGTAACTCGTTAAAATAAAGAATGCACAAAACCATGACTCATCAAGCATTTAAACAGTAGACCTCAATGAGAATCGCCCGAGAGCACTGCAGGATATAGTTCCTGTTTGAGATGCTGAAAGGTCATTGACAAGTTTGAATGTATCTGCATTAAAAGTTGGAACACAGTCGCTGGTAAAAATATACTAGAAAATAGTCTCTATTCTAAGGATCTCTACCAAGAAGGGAAGAGATATCTAAAAACTAGAAATATATACCTATAAGTTTCCCTGCAAGAGGGTTCATTTTCGGATACCATGCATCCACAATTTTTAACAAGTCATCTCCACTAGGAGTACCAACCAAGATTCTTCTCCAAAATGCACTCACTGAAATATTGCCTAGCAACAAACAAATGGAGTAGATAGAGGGAAAAGGTTAGCCCACATAAGAGAGCGAACAAAGATTTATTAAAGTATTTATAGAACACATCTGATTTAATATCATGAATAGCTGTAAAATAGGAAATATATATGATTCGGGAAGGATTTAAAGTTTCTGTACTTTTTTTTGGCTGAAGGATCAAATAGGCCCTTGTACCGGTCGTGTAAGCTCAATTCAGTCCCTGAACTAAAAAAATCCAATTCACGCCCCAAACCGTCAAAAGAGGGCTCAAATTTCATTTTTTAAGGTTAAACAACAGGTAAAAACAAGGTCTAATTCACACCCCTAAACTATTAAAAAGTGACAAAATTGCAATAAATCGAAAATAAAAAACTGAAACAATAAAAAAATTAAAAAATGACCGGTTGTTTACCCGTAAAAATGAAATTTGAACCAATTTTTGTCTGTCCAGGGTGTGAATTGAACCTTTTTTAGTTCAGGGACTGAATTGAGCTTACACGACTAGTACATGGGCCTATTTGACCCTTTAGCCTTTTTTTTTTGCTCCATCACTACTCTCAGTAGTTAATAGAAGACAACAAAAACTATATGCACAACTACACAACATCTTAAAGTCATCATAATGTCAAACCACAGCTTAATAGCAACATCCAACTATCCAAAGGTGTAAGAACAACACAATTTGAAAACAATGAGCAAATTGCAGCTGTTACTTTTATACTGAAGAGACACTGTATATAGTCTACTTCCCAGAGATAATCTAATATCCTAAAGTAGGAATGTAGGATGATAAGTGTAAGAAAGACAGCAATGTAAACATCAGTTTACATGTGCACACAAGCATTACCAACCTTCTGCATATATATCCAGTTTTGAGCTTGTGACTGTAGAAAATATGCGAAAGCCTTCATTCACATTGATTGCCTGCATTGATCTAGAAGTTAGCATAAGTATGTGTATATGAAGAGATATAACGCTTGTGTTTTATTATCTCAACATGACATGCCTAATCTAAAAGATTCGGCCCCGCCTCGTAACAAGGACTTACAATGGACTTAACCACCAAAACTTTTAATTCTTACACCAGATACAGTAGGATGCCTAACATTCACATGAATAAAAAAATAGGTCTCATGCGATCAAAATATGGAGGGACCAACATCCCATTGGTGTAATCTAACATTTCATTGGCATCAATTAAGTTTGATGCATCCATGTTATTCACTATGTAGAACAGCATGTCCTAATAAAGTTCCATTGAAAACTAGTGCATCTCTGAGATAGGAATAACAAACAAGAGAGAATAGAACTTCAATCAGATATTTTACTAATTTAGGCAAAGAAAGTGCAAAATATATTATGTATTAAATTGTAGAGTACTCAAATCAGGTGCAAAGGAATTAATATGGTTAGATCATACTCTCTTTGCCCCATAAAATTTGGTCAAAGTTGACTTACACGTAGAATAATAAAGTAAAAAATGTGTGGTTGAGATTTGTGGGAAAGAGAAATAACTTTAGCCACATATTAGTTACTTTAAATGGAAATGGCAAAGTTTTTTGGACGGCCAGAAAAAGAAAGTTGGAAAAGTTTTATGGGAGGGAGGTAGTATAAGATTATGTAACGCATAAAAACCCAATTATACTCCCTCTGTCCCACAATTAAAGTCCCAGTTTGACTTTGTGGTCTCCTAAGTGGACGTTTGACTGTAATTATCTATAAATATATATGTAGTACTTGTATAATCTATAATAAATTGACATTTGAATAATACTCTATACGTCCCACTAAGAATGGGACAATTCGATTTACGATGCTTGACCGATGATAAAGCAAACAGATCTCTGTCCGCACTCAAATTATTTTTAGAAAAAATATTACTCTCTCCGTCCCGAAAAGGTTGGCCAAATTTCCTTTTTTGGATGTCCCAAAAAAATTTGCCGTTTCCATTTAAAGTAAGGAATATGTGGCTAAAATTAATTCTCTCTCCTCTGCACAAATTTCATTCACACAGTTTTTACTTTATTAATCCACGTGAAAGTCAACTTTGGCCAACCTTTTCGGGACGAAGGGAGTACATGTTTAGAAACTACATTAAAAGCTTTACAAAGTCGCAAAAACCAGAATCAAATTTGATAAAAATTTGATATATAAAGTAAGAGATTGAGAGTGATTTGTGTTGACCAGGTGAATAGGAACTGTGACAATCTTAACGGGACGGGGGAGTATATATTACAATGAAGCACATTAAATAATTTTTTTGGGATAAATATTGTTAATTTTGAGTAATTAGTGGTCAAAGTTTAACAAGTTTGACTCAAAAGTCAAACCGAGACTTTAATTAAGGGATGGAGGTAGTATACGAGATGAGAGTAGATACTCCAAATATATATAACGATATACCTCCCCGTGGCCAGTGGAAAATGAACTTGAGCCCTCTAACAAGGGCAATAAGATAGACTGAACATCTGGTGGTGCTTTATCCACGTCCTCAAAGACAACCCACAGTCCATTCGAAACAGCCTGCAATGGAGTATGAAACCATGCACAGCAAATGATAAGGTATCGAAATATTAGCGTGTGCCCCTCTTCAATAAAAATAATTCCTACCTGAGTAAGAGAACCATGTTGCCATCTAAATTCACCCGGGTTCTCAGCACAAACATAACTTCCTACTAATGTCTTGCCATCAATTTGCTCATCCATGTGTATAGACAGAACTTTTTATGAGACCAGCCACGAAAATACAGCGTATACAGAAAAAGAGATGCAGTTAGTAATTGAAGAGGTTACAAGCAGAACAGTATGTGAGTGCAAACAAAACACTATGGAGGCTATGAAACATGGAAATGAACACATATACAGCCATACCAACACTACAGGAACATCGAAAACTTTAAATATGGTGACAAATGAGGGAAAATAACTTCAAATAATACAGACTATCTTCCATGAACCAAGAATAATACGTACTATGAAGCCAACTTTTAATAATACTAACTATTTAGCAATTCTCACTAAAAATCGGTCATTTAACTCATCAAAAACTAATATCAAATCAAATAAGTGACCCTATTTCCAAGTACTCCCTCCATCCCTTAAAACTTTGCCATCTTTGAATTTTTTGGTCAATCGAGTTAAACTTTGACCAAGGATATATTTTTATAGGAAATGACTTATAAAATAAAAAACATATGGAAATGTTCTTTGTTAAAAATTGTTTCATAAAAGTATAAATTTATAACATTCGTAAAATTATACTAATCAAAATCAAAGATCACCATCATTGACTTGAAAAGTCAAAGATGGCAAAGTTTTAAGGGACACGGGTAGTGTCATTTATTTAACCGTTTGTGCTTCTTTGTTATGAACCAGCAGTCAGTCCATGCAATTTTCGATGCAATTTTTATCTTGGGTCATCTGAAAACATTCTCTCTATGATTTAGTACACGGGTAAGGCTGCTACATCTGACCCTCCCTCACCCCACCCTAGGTGGGAGCCTTTGCGGCACTAGGAAAATGTTGTTGTATTCAAATAATTGGTATTATTGGAAATAATTTCAGAAGTATGTATTATTATTGGTTTATAGGTGATAGTTGGTATTATTTAAAGTTATTTTCCTAATACATAAAAGTCTAATTTGGAAGACAATGTTTTTACTGGTTTAGAAGAACACCAGATCCGGGAGGGTGGGGGAGAGAGAGATTGATGTGGCTTAATTTGTTCTATTATCTTTTTGTTTTGAGCTTGAGTCCTATATTTTGGAGTTGTTTCAAAAAAGACTATCGTGTCGTCTTCTCGAGGCCCAAAGCCCCAAAGTGTCTTCCCTATCTACATTTTAGGGGGGCACAAATTTCATGTATCGAGAACATGTCGCGCCATATTGTCAGTGGTCCATGGCCCAGGCAATGTCCTAAAAGATGGTCTAAGTGGCGTGCACTAGCAGCTCAAGCGCCCAAATGGAGCCTGTGATATTGTGCAACACAAATCCCCATTGTGTCTGACATGCACACTTCAACTCTTCACTTCGACTCTTTAGATGTGCCACAGTGCCAGTGCTTCATAAGTTCATAGCATGTGAAACCAGGATATGCATCACATGAAAACAAAATGTACAAACACGCTTTTAAAGGGACTGGACAGCAGAAATGTTGACAACAGTCAACAGCACAATAACTTACAATGCACTTAGAGAATAAAACCAAATACAGACAAACAGTTAAATAACAGTTGAGAGGATAAAGCAAAGCAGAAGCTTTCTTGCCAAGCAATGTGCGCTGATACATAATATTACACCTACTATCAAGAAGAAATACATTTCACAACTATAAATCAAGAGCCTACCCTCACTTAAGAGATGCAATATGTAGCACTGACAAGAAAACTTGTTAACTAGATCCTCTCAAGTATTACTGAGACTTATTTACAAGTTAAGTATCACTTCCTCCGTTTCTTAAAAGTTGCAACATTAGGAATTTTTCATTATTCACACACCTTACTTTGACCATGATTTTCTACTACTATTTAAAATCAAATTATTATGTACTCCCTCCGTCCCATTGGACTTTGCCAACTTTCCCATTTTGATTGTCCCAAAAAACTTTGTCACTTTCCTATTAAAGTAACTAATTTGTGGTTCTGCACATTTCTCTCTCCTCTGCACAAATATCAACCACACACTTTTTACTATTCTTATTTCTCACTAACTTTGCATTTGGCAAATTCTACCGGGACGGAGGTAGTAATTAATAATTTCTATTCATGTGAATTTCCAAAATATTAACTTTTTATAATTTTTACTAATACGTAATTAAATATAATTACGGTTAAAGTTGTGTGTTGGCAAACGTGAAAGTCAAATTGTTGCAACTATTTAAGAACGGGGGATAGTACTTAAGAACAAACCATCACGAAAAAAGTAGAAAAAGAAATGTACTCAAATTGGACCAAAACTTACGATATTTCCTTATATTGTACTACAGCTAAAAATAGGACTAAACAATAATTAATAACCCAAAAATACACCTTTTATTGTACATCTTCCACCGCCAAATAGCACCACCACCCGAACGCTGCTGCCGCCAGTCGCCGAATTCGCCGCCGGAAGCCACCGGGGAGTCATTGGATAGTTACCAGATATTTGCAGGAACTCTGGGTGCCGGTTGCAACTGGAAAGTCGCTGGCGGCTCCACTAGGCAGTCACCACTAAACCCTAAGTGGGATTGGTAAAGGCTAACCCTAAGCCCTAGGAGGATTGGTAAACCCTAACGATTTTTTAGGGTAATATAATTACTCTTTCCAAACATATGATACATAAGTCTTGTTTAAAGAAAAAAACTAGTAAGTCCTATTTTTGAAAAGAAACTAAGTTTTAGTCCCGAAATAAAGAGCAATTTTCTCAAAAAGAAAGAGACAAAAAACATGTCAGTAGTACATATTGATAATAAATAAAATCACCTTGACTCCCATAATCTTGTGCTAGCCTTGATATAAGTGCAGTTTTCCCTGCACCAGCAGGACCATACAAAAGAACAGGCCACCTCTGACTCACAGCTAAAAAGACCATCTCATAACTCTTTTTCACAGCTGAAGTCAAGGTGAAGGGTTTTCCATCACCCCTGAATATCATATCCCAGAAGGGAAAGAATAATTGTCAAATGGTGTGTACTCCCCAAAGCACGGAGGCAAATAAATAATTAGAAACATTAAATAATAAACAGTGTCTATTCCAAATGCTTCATACCTTGTGATCTCCTTTGATTGTAGAAATGTATGTACTGCAGAAGAGGAAGAAATCAAAGAGCAAAAGTTTGTTGAGGGGGCTGAATAACCTAGATCAAACCCAATGAACTCACCAACCAAATTTTTATCTTTTCGCTTTGAAGTTTCAATATACATGCCAGCTTTTTCTATCGATACATCCTGACAAAATTCTTGCCACCTATAATGAAGGCATGTAAATAGGTGAGGGAGAAGAAAAGGTACTACTTTTCAGAAGATACAACTATTGGATCTACATTGCTCAGGGTACTTCATGCTCCATACAATTTATACAAGAATTACATTGTTGTGTTTTATGAAACACAAACCTATCAGTAGACTCATTTAGCAAAAAAATGGATTTTCTTGGTCAATAATATATGTAGGATTTTGATTAGCTTTGTGATTGTACTGCATCCACATATAGGCTTCTTCCTCATTCGCAAAGAATATTTGTGAAGATAGAAAAACAGTTCATTTACAAAACTGGAACAAAAACATCAATCACTCACCTCAATAAACACAAAAGATCTTCTTCAGCATTCAGACTTGCATTTGAACTTAAACTGAGAACCACCGATAATATTTTTTTCCCACACCATCTTATATCAGAACAATTTCTCTTTAGCTCTTCATTGGTATTAACAGGGATATCAGTATACTTCTTCACAAGGTCGATAAAACAGGACCAGTTCCATAACATTATAAACTCCGACGCTGTCAAAAGATAACGATACGAGACTCTTACAATATCTACAAGACAAGTTCCTCCCTGTAAAAATTAAAGTTGATCCAGAACTGAGAAAATATTAAACCAAACCATACAAAATATTATAATAAAGCTGTGGTTCTGAAGAAATCTATTTCACAGTTTCAATTGCAATTTTCAACCCTTTTAAATTGTGTACATTTTCTTATTCTAATGTGTAGCCCATTAGAAAATGAATTCGCGCCAACAATAAGTTGACCATAATGAGTGGAATACTGCTATCAAGTCCAATATGCAGGCGCGTGTAATGTCAGCTCAAAACAACAGTTGCTAGTAAATGATGCACTTGAGTCCTACACTCCCACTGCATAATCTTACTCATTTGTTAATTTACATAACTATTTGAAGTATCATATCTGAGAAGTTGAGAACCTCAATCACGTTTGTTCTTTCTTGTGTAGACAATGTTCATTTATTCTTTTTCTTGCAGATATACAAACAGAGGAGCAAATTAATATGAGCTTGTAGATTTTATAGAGTAGTATGTTCGGGGAAGAAAATTCAAATACTTGAGCATGAGTGGAAGTGGTATAATTAACTTACCACAGCAAATTCTTCACCAAATGATTCTTTCTTGTTGATCCTTTGAAAAGGAGGTGGAGCAAAACTAAAATAACTAAAAATTGACCTAGAATAAGGAAATCAGAATGTCAGCATGCAAGAAAGTGGTAAGCATGCACCAATTGGTAACGCATGCTTCAAGATGAAAATGCTAATATGCAAGTTGGGACTTGGGAAGATGAAAAAAATGTAGCTTACTCCTTCAAATGCGGAACCAAATCGAGTGCCCTACAGAATGCAAGACATGCAAGTTCATGAAGCCTCAAACCCTTCCCATTTCTGGCATAAACATTAACAAAATGTGTAATGTCCGCAGGGTCATAACCTTCATCTTCTGCAATAAATCTTTCTTCATCAAAATCCGTCATCAAATCATTATCTGAACTCAAGTCAGGCACTAAACGAAGCAGCTCCACTGTTCTGTCAATAACGTTGCGTGCTATCGGTAGAAAACATCCCACCAATGGTATAGTATAATTCGGGTGCAGAACCAACTCTCCCAGTGCATTTACAACTTCTCCTTCAGTGAGCTCGGTACCCTGCAATTCAAAGAGCATCAGTGTCAATTTAAATCGCAAATGCTTGCCGAAAAACATCTTCATCAGTAAACTGAACGGAGAAGTCATTTAAAAAGTTAGTATATAGATAGATAAATACCTTATTCAGTAGGTAAACGAATAGCTGAACCTTGGCAAGCTTGGGGCGCCGATTAACAAACCTTTCCAGCTGGGATTCAAGACGAAAGCTCCCGTCAAGCGACATCTTTGCTTCAACACTGTTACAAACAATATGTTTCCTTTGTTCTCTCTTCCTCTACAGCAAGGAAGCTAGGTCTTAAAGCCGTCGTTAGTTGAAGGGTTTAGCGCTGGTCGGGGGGTCAGGGTTTAAGCCTTGTAGCTTTGATAATGAGTATAGAGTATAATTATACAAAAAATGACACAAATATTATTCCTCAACTTTAAAATGACACAAATATTATTCCTCGAAATACTTCCAATTTTCCCTTTTCGTTCGTCCCAAAAAGAACTTCCATTTCTCTTTTTGGCAAAGAATTTGTGGTTCACAACAATTCTTACACATTTCTCTCTCATCTGCACAACTCTCCATCATACAAAACTCACTTTCTTAATCTATGTGTCATTTGTACTACGGAAGTAAATTATGGGACGGGGGGAGTATCACTTTCAAAATGAACAGAAAAGTCGCTCTTCCGTAGCAGGCCTGTCCATATCCCTGGGAATCCTCGCTTCTTGTTTATGGTTTCTAACTCTCCTATGTAATCCTTCTCACTTCCGTCCTCATGCTTGAACCACCACCGCCCATTATTCGTCGTGATCTAACATCGTTAAGTCTAGCATCTAGAACCTCCGCCCTCAGATTCGTCGATGACAGCAGATCTCGCCTCTCCTGAGCACATCTGGGCGGCGACTTCGGTTGCTACAGCAACTGGGCGGCGATATATTGCATTAATAATCATACACTAGTTTTTTACTTTTTTCAACAGAAATTACTACCGAACTTATATTTTGTGTAATATATTTTTACATTTATGTACTTTTATTGTAAAATATGTGTCATATTCATACACTTTTTTCTATAATGTGTTTCTTATCTATTTGCAATATATAATAATATATTTTTTATCTCTTTTAAATGTATTTAGTGTTTTTAAGACATTAAAAAACATCTTCCTATGTGTGGGTTACATTTGGACTTGCCTCAACAAGTTACATTTTGCATTCACCTAAGTTGGATTTCCATCAACGCGAATTACATTTTTTCATAACATGAGTTACATCAAAAAAATAAACTCCCGCAATTGAAACAAAAAAAAACAATTTTTTGCAAAAAAAAAATATTTTTCTATGAAACATTTTTATGGTCTTAATACTAAACAAAACATATTAACTATTTACATAAATTAATTTGACCAAATAGACTCTTTGTTTTCATTGTTTACATTTGATAATTTGACAGTATATGAAGTTATTTATATCTTATTTTTCACGAGTTATATCGTTTTTATACGTGAGTTACATCTTCATATACGCGAGTTACACTTAGATTTGTTTTAACAAGTTACATTTGCATACATCTAAGTTAGAATTTTCATCAACGTGAGTTACATTTTGCATAACACGAGTTATATCACAACATAAAGTCTTTCTATTGAAACAAAAGAATCATTTTTTGCAAAAAAAAACATTTTTTGACAAAACAAGTGATTTTTAAAAAAACATTTCTATGTCCATAATATTAAGAATAGAACACATTCACTATTTAAGGAAGCTCCCGCTATTGAAACCAAAAAATCACCTTTTGCCAAAAAAAGGTTTTTTTTTTGAAAAAAAAATGATTTTAAGAAGAAGAAAAACATTATTTGTGGCCTTAATATAAAAAAACATGTTCACTATTTATGTAAAGTAATTGAGCAATTAAACTCCTTGTTTTCATTGAAATCCATGTTTTATTTCTTATAATACTTATTAGACAAGTTACATTTCCACTTGCTTGTAGTTACATTTATTATCACCGTGAGTTACATTTCCACTTGCTTGTAGTTACATTTATTATCACCGTGAGTTACATTTCTTTACACGCGAGTTACATCATTCATGCTACTGGGACAAAAAAAAGTTAATGTACATGTATGTACTGTTCACGTGTGTACTGTTCACGCGTTTTTTTAAAAGTTGTGCAAAGCTACGTCGTTTTAGGAGTGAAGCATGGTGCTCAGCGTGGGATGATCCCACGGTATACGAATTGCATAATGTTCAACAACATAGGTTTGATGCTCATTAAAAGCTCATTAATGCTCATTTAACAGAAACCGTGATTTTCATATCAAGAGATGAGGTTTGACGCTCAATGAAAATGTCATTATATTCAACTAACAAATTTGACGATTTTCATATCAATGTCACAATGTGCATTTTGTAAGTTACATTTGCTCATTTGGTACAGATTTTATACTCATTTGTAAATTGTCATATAAATGCATATTTCAAAAGTAACATATTACATCAAATTCACATATTGAAATTCATATGAGTGGATTATAAATATAAGGGAATAGGGTCAAATAGGCCCTCGAACTAACTTAAAAAGTGCAAATCACCCCTTATATGAGGTTCTATCCGGCCGTCGCCATTTGGGGCGGTTCCCAATAGAATTTTTTGATGATTTTTTTTTGAAAATCTTCTTCGTTAAGTATAGTTTACCCATACCAAGTTTCAAATAAAAATTCAACTGGGAAGATAATCAAATGATTTTCTGAAATGTACTGTGTTGTTTAACTGCGAAGTTTTTATCAAAAATTCATTTGACTGTCTTTTCGATTGAATTTTTAGCTGAAACTTGGTATGAGTAAACTAGACCTAATGAAAAAGATGTTCAAAAAATTTCATCAAAAAATTCCTCAGGTAACCGCCCCAAATGGCGACCGCCGGACAGAGCCTCCTATATAAGGGATGATTTGCACTTTTTAAGTTAGTTCGAAGGCCTGTTTGACCTTTTCCGTAGATATAATTTAATAAGTTTTTATAGAAGAAAAATAAGAAAAAGAAAGTGAATTAGAAGATATGAAGCAGGGATCTTGATACTCATTGTTAGACTTTTAATACTCATTAGAATAGGTCAGATGCTCACTAAAAGTACATCAATGCTCATTTAGCGAACACCGCGATTTTTCTCTTAAATTACAAAAATGCCACCGCCTCAAAAAAATAGACCTTTTGATTATGGGTTGTATTAGTTAATGGGTCACTGTCTTCCTTAATTGGATCGGGTGTACGGTGGGGACCGTACACACGGATGTAAGATACAGGTGATGCCACAATTGGGACTTTAAGTTTATTATTCCCTAAATAGGACTAAAGATTACCCTTTTACCCCTGATTCAATTAATCCAACAAGTCTGCCCCTGCGATTCATCGCATCACTCCTGCCGACTCTTCAATTCATCGCAGAACACCTCTTCCTCCCTGGACTGCTGATCCGCCATCGACTGTGGCCTCGTATCGCAATTCTGCCATCTACGGTAGCCCTGCACTCATCGGCGACCAGGTAGGTCTTCTTCTTCTTCTTCTAATCCTCTTCAAAATTTTGGTCCTCTATTCTCTTCGTCTTTGAATTTTTGGATTTGAATTTTATTTGGGTCCTCCGTTTTCTTTTTCTTTGGATTTCAATTATTTATTTATTTATTTATTTATTTTGATTTATTTGGAACCTCAAAATGCCATAAAAGCAATTAGAAAAATGTCGTTGTTATGACATTACATTTTTCAAGATGGACAATATGTCATGAAACTGACATTGTTACTCAAACAACTAACACTTTAATTTTTGTTTTGAAAATGTCATGTGAATGACATTATTACTCTTTAGAGATGTCATTTTCATCTTTGAACTGTCACCTTGACAAATGTAATGTCATAAAAATGATATTATTATAAATCAGTGTTGGATTAAAGATCAATTATGTCATTTTTCTAAATTTTGTTAATTTCAAAGTAAAATTGTCATCTTCATAGATGTAATGCCATAAAATTGACAGTTTTCGAATTACTGATAATTTTATGGCATTCTCAATTTCCTTCTTTAATAAATAAAATTGAAATCCAAAGAACAAGATAACAGAGTACCACAAAATTGAGGAGGAAGAGGAGGAGGAGGATAGTACATACTTGACTTGGCTGGAAAAATTGCAGCAGAGGTCGTCGATGGCGGAGCTACGGCGTTGCGAGTCTACGATCGATGGCGGAGGTGCGACCATGGTAGAGGAAAGAATCGTGGAAGGTGAATTACGGCCATGATAGAGGAAGATGAATTCCGGTGAAAGATTGCAAAGGGTAGAGGATATGAGTCGCACATCTGTGTTAGGTTAATTAGGGGTAAAAGTGTAATTTTTAGTCCTATTCAGAGAATTTAAAACAACGTGTCCTGTTTTTGCAATTCCACATTCTTTTAATCTTATTTAAGGAATTCTCTCTTATATATAGGGAAAAATCGGAAGAAATCCTAATATATGATTAAAGTATAGAAAAAAATGTTCTCTATAAGATACAAATATAGTATTTTTTCAAAAATTGGATCATATGTTTAATTTTTCTTAAATATGATTAATCACTCCATTTCTAACTTTAATTTAATCAATTAATTAACTTACTTAAATAAGAATTTTATATTTCTATACTCTCTTTTCCAAAGCTCTACCTAACACATCTCTAAAGAAAAGCGGATGGTCCTTATAATTTTTTAGGGATGGTATTTCCGGTGAAGGTTCTCTTGCGGACAATTTTTTGTTTAGGCGATTGTTAGGGTTTTTGAGGTTGTGGCTTCGTCCGTGACGTAAAGGAGGAAAATTCAGTTTTCAAATGAAGCAACATGGGGCTAGATTGGTTGGTAATAAGGGTGAATGTGTGGCAGCGAACGACACAGTCAAGGAGCAAGACAAGTTTGCTATTTTAGAATAGATCTACAATCATTTGGTCTTGGAAGAAGAACATAACGTGTTGATGGCCCGTCCCCCTCCCGAACCACCGCCATGTAATGAACATGTGACTAGGGTTTGGTCTATTTTTCTTGCTCTATTTTTGCTTCAAGCATTATTTTTCTTGCGCTCTATTATTGTTATTGGTAGTTGATGGAGTATATATATGGACCCGACCCCCCAACCTGCCAACTATTGGGCCTGGACAACGATTCACGCACACCAGCAGACAACATTTATATTACCACATAGTTTACATATTCATTGTATGTACTAGATTAGCTTTTATACTATTAGTCCATTTATGTAACCGGGTCTGTTGGGCCCATGTTAGAGGCCCAGATCCGGATTTTTCTATATATACTCCTTATATGAGGCTTGTAAACCTAAGTCAC